CCGTGCGAGATGGGAAGCCATCAGCTGCCTTCAGTAAATCCTCATCTGAAGCCGACAATGCCAAAGGATCAGGCTTGATATCATCAGGAACGTCTGAAAAAGCAGCATTGTAGATCGCTAGAAATCGTCATAACGCATGTCATCTTTTACAGCCATTTCGGTCGGGCTGGGGAGCTGAGAGACAGCCTCTAGCTTCATGATGAACGCAAGCGATTCGTGGACTACTAATGTAATTCTAACGCACCGCGTACGACCCCAGCAACAGATAGTTGTCATCCCTGACGGTGTTCCGTTGGGTAAACGAAAACTAGTGCGTAGTTCTCCTTTACGGTGATACTGATGCCAATCCATACGACCGCTTTTCATAACTGCATCTCAGTTCGTACCTAATACCTCAGTTGAGCCACCGACAGCACTCAAGACATCCACTTGTGAAGGTGACAATGTCAGCAGATCTGGCTTGACATCAGGTGTGACATCAGGACCTACAAAAGTATTGGGAGTGAGCAATACTTAAAATGGTCCTAAGGTCAACAGTTCTGTTAGCACGGGAAATGGAAGATGAAAACATAAATATTGACATGTCTTGAAGAGGGTCGGGCAGGCATTATTTATAGTTGGGTTAATTTTTAGCCCAGCCAGGTCTTAAAGTCCAGCCCTTTTAACTTCTTGTATGAGCCCGCTTTTATAAAATTAATCATAGAGGCTAAACTTTCTTTCCCTTCATTTTCATGGCAACCACGGGACACTCCTTTAACTCCTTTTTTCTGATCTATCAGGAAATACTCAGAGGTGGGTGATAAGGGGGGGGGGGGGCTGGAAAAGGGAGGTCTGCGGTTTTAGTAGTAAGAAGAATCGCTAGGACTGCATTGCTGTGCAGATATGCTGAGATATGCGGCTGTGCCAGCATGCTGCAGGCCACCAATACCTTCATTATCATAATTATGATATTCTTACGTTTAGATGATAAGGTGTCCATAGAATACTCCTGTTCGGTGATTGGACATGGTGTTGAATATCGTAAAAACGTTAGTTGAATTTACTAAAGAAATACGTAAGTTTTTACATGTAAATATAACATAAAATCAAACAAAGATTCAATCTTGAAGCGTCCAACACCAGTATGTACGATGACAATAACACAGCGACATTTCAGAAAGCTCTCATCATCTTCCTTCAAAATATCATAATTCCTATAATTGTACGATGACAATAACAGCCAAATTTCAGGAAGCTCTCATCATCTTCCTTCAAAACATCATAATTACTATAATGACGACAGACGTCCGTCTGTCACCCTGGCAGCACGATACTGACGCACCAAGGCCATTCCGATGAATTACAAACGTTTGCTTCTTTTCACGTGGAGTGTGCGCAGGAGGCTACGCGCGTGCGCCGCCCTTGGTGCGATAGCCATGTTGCACTCGGTGGAAAACTTCTCCCAGCCGGACGCAATGAGAAAACTATTGACATAATCACATCAATAGTGCTCAACACCCACCGCCTTATAGTTAAAGAGTTGTACCAGAAGTTGTTTGTCCATTTGGGGCTGCAGAGAGTCCGTCAATGGAATATACTATAACAAATTTGGGAAAGTGCTTGCTGTCATATTCTGCATCTGAACCCCCCCCCCCCACTCCCCTTCTCGATCGATCAATACGCACGATAGAACCATTCTGGGGGACAATACAGACGCACTTCACACGCGGCTGCGGTAAGACGCTAGCAATCGAAGCAAAGCAGTGTCTCTTCAGAAAAACCACGCGCCTCCATTTATTACTTACTGCCTTTAAGCGTAATTTCTATAATCACCTTGGGGCGCAATGGATCTGGCTTTTTTTCCACAGTTCTGCCAAACAACTATTTCACACTCAAGTTTAAAAGGACCGTGGCTATGAATGGTGAGCATGAAAACTAATAGCAAAACGCCTTTCCGCAATACAACATCCAAACGATCCTCATCGGTGTGGACAACAAACGTGCGCTTACAAGAATGTTCCTCGACTGAAGGACTTCCGCGGACATTCCAACTGCAAACCGTGTCGCCATGATCTCATCTGGTCTGGTTATTTCAGTCATCATTTAGCCATCTAAACGCGGGGTGGAAGAGCCCAGCCGTAATTACGGTCTCGGACGCATGAGCGAGAGCTGCTTTTCAATTTGTACATAAACCGTCCAGCGCCAAGGTCAAATGGAGATGACCTTGGTGGTGAATAAGCGCTTGGATCGATTTTTGCGTTGTCTTCGACAGTTCAAAATGCCGACAGTGCAACGACAGTGCAACAGTGCACGGACAGTACAACGAGACAACCGTCAACCACCGCCGCCAGTCACGTGGTCGCCGATTTGCATGTGAAACTGGTAAGCCGGTTGAAACTGAAACTGTGAAACTGTGAAACTGTTGAAACTGGTTTCCGCCGCCTGGTCACCGCGCCGATTGGGCAGACCCAGACCCCGCCGCCCACCGCGGCGGGGCCCAGGCCCACCTGGCCAGGGGCGACATGCGTTGTGATGCCTTTCAAACCAAGCCATGACTGATTCACTGTTACAGATAATTGCTTGAAACTTGGTTCAGGCACCATCCAAAGTCGCACCTAAGACACCTCTCAGATGTTTTCATCACTTTGCGCCTGATACCAACAAATGTTAAACACGCACTCTGGGTGGGGGGGGGGGGGGGGTAAATTGACCCGCGAAGTGTTCCCAGAATTGTTTCCAAACGGCATAGCTGAAGACAATTCAAAAGCGGATCGTCTGACATCAAAAATTTAGATGTACCTTGGAAGGTCGCTGACCTATGGCAGGCAGGGCATGGTCTCAGCGAAGGCACGTCCTGGGGAATCGTTCAATCCGATCAAACAACAGAGTGTTAGACGAGGCCATACATCTGTGATACTTTCGTAGGCAACACAACAACTGAATACACAAATAGAGTTGACCTAGGGTCAGGTATGAAGGTCAGACCAAGGTGAAAACCAACCTGTTTTATTACCCTCGGGTTTGCTGTATGGACTGGTTTCTGGTGCTCATTTCAATCATATCGATAGCAGGAACCGCATTATACACCTTCCATGGACTTCCTACAGGTCAGAATATGTCAGTGACCCAAAATGACCCATGTCAATATTTTGTTGTTAGGAACATACTGCCTGGCGTAATTTTTGTCGCTGATCCAAATGCAGAACTCAACAGTCTTGTATCATTTCGGTCATCATGACCTTTAAAAGGCAAACAAGGCCACTAACCTTATCTGAGCGTGTGACATTTTGCTTAGAACAGTTGCCTGGGTTCTACGGGCCCTTTGGAAAACAATCCATAATTTGACCTTGTTTGACCTTACCTGACCCGAAGGTCATGACCTACGAACCTCAAACTTTGACCTAAGAGAGTTCACGTACAGGTCAACACACTCTGTGAATTTGGTGTCTCTAGCTCTCTTAGTTCCCAAGATTTCAAAAGGGGGGGAGGCCAAACTGAACCCCACCCAAGCGAAGGGTATCCAACCGGCCACCCGGGCGCGTGTTGATATATTTCAATCAAATTTTTTGTTATTTGACATGCCAATATTTCAATGCGCAATATTGAAACAACGCAACGACACCCGGACGCGTGCTAAGATACTTTGATCAAAATTTCTGTTATTTGACATACCAATATTTCAATGCGCGGTATTGAAAAAAAAACACAACGACAAATCATAAGGATTATAGACTAATTCGCTCACATTTTCCGTTTAAAGATATAACATATGTTCTTTCGTTCAGCTTCTGTGCCAATTTGTCAACGGTACGCGCTTTTGTCGAAAAATTGGCAAACAAGACATCGCTCAGACGTCACTCACGGCGGATTTATTATCATCCCATAGTTAACATTTTCGCAAAAGGCGAAGACCTCATCAAAAAATTCACCTAAAAAAATTAGCGGCGATTTTTCGAAGCGTTTTCGAATAACCGTGAGAATGTCTTATGTCAGGACGTTGATAACCATACCAATAGGTGATGACACCTTGTGACCACCACTAAAGGCCTGCACACCTCCGATATAAGGTAATGTAAAGTAGCAAACGCATCGATTTTCAAGTTCCAAAAATCAGTGTGCAGTCATCTGTGACTCCAGCACAAAACTTACCCATAATTGATGGTCTGTGGATTGTTGACATTGCGAAACCACACATGAACTGCGTAGTATCCGTAGTATCCCTGGTCTCAGCATCTCCACCATGCGGCAGTGACTGGTAACTCCCAGTCAGCACTTCATATGGTCTGCAACATGCATGCGATTCATGGCATTGTCGTCCAACAGACATTTGTGATAGTGGCGATTTATTCTGCGGGTTATTCAGCGTTTTATCCAGTAAAGGAGTACGATTTCTCTGAAAGCACGTCAGGTGATCAATGGTGGCAAAGCCCATCGCAAATCACGCATTCTTTGCAATATGGGGTGCCCCTTCAACGCTAAATTTGATGCCAATTCACGGGGAATTAAGCATCACCGAAATTTACGGCGTGATTTCGACTTTTTCAGCATCAGAATATTTACCAACGCCATTCAAGAAATAGCGTCAGCCAAAAAATCCTGACCTATCAGGATCACCCTTCGAGGTCAAAATCACTCAAATCGCGGCAAACCTCATTTTACCAAAAATTTTCAGTCGCTTTGAACTTTTCAAGCAACGGAATACTCACAAGTGCAAGAACCAGGGTCTTTCAAAGTCATCACAACTCAACGTCACCTTTTAAGGTCAAATTCGCGCTCAAAAGACCGGGAATTACATACCACCGAAATATTAACGGTTGGTATCAATTTTTAAACAATCAAAACATCTATCAAAGAAGAATCACTTGTCAGCAAAAAAAAAAAAATAGAAAACACACGATCACCTTTCACGGTAAAATGAAGGCTCACAGGGGAACAATACAAAATTTCCACTTTTCAAGCTTCATTACATTCACCAACGCACGAAGTGGCGCTCGTAACAAAGCCCTGATCCCTCAAGTTCACCATTTAGGTCAAGTTAAAGCTCAAATGGTTGTGAGCTACATCCCACCAAAAAAATACCCGGTCAATTTTGATTTTCAAGCACCACAACAATCCAGAGAGGTTGGACAGAACAATGATTGAGAGTCAATTGACGGCCGTTGTCTGGAAGTGGCGCTCACGAACGCCAGATGTGAACGCCTCGGCAATTATATTTTTAATGGCCTTTACCGGCACATGACTAGAAATGACAGGATTTGAGTGACGCTATGGAGGCATCATGAATGCCAAGGTGACTTTAAAATACCCTCTCTGAAATACTCCCGCACATTTTTGCAGGCGCGTGGCTCGGAAATTACAAGGGTTTAAGACCTTTCAGACGTCTGTTTGACTTCAAAACTGCACATTTTTTTAGAACTCCCTTTATGCGCTATTGATCATTCTGGTGCTTAAAAGTCCGAAATCAGTTGGTAATTTGAAAGTCACAACGAGCCTCCCGACGTTTAAGCGTTAATTTGACCATGAAAAAGTCCTGAGCGTTGGGTCCTTTGAACGGACACTGGGCCTTGAGCTGTTAAGTAGCCTAATACTTAAAAACAGTTACCATCAAATTCTGAATTTTCAAACATTAGAATGTGCACCAAAGCAGCGAACGGCGTCACCCAGTTATTTTCGGTGTTCTTGTCCCGTATCTGATCACCAGACCCGTTTTCAGTGAAATGAGAACTTGTCACTGAAAAATGAGCTGAAAAAAATCGCCAACTTCACAGACATGCACAACATGCACACATTGTTTCTGGTTCAGCAATGAGGTTTTTGCATTCCTCAGTTTTTCTGTTTTTTCTGTTTCTCTGTTTTTGCATTACATTGAAATCGTGGTCTGATCCTACATCTTTTCACCATTGCCACTTTTCAAAAGGGAATAAACAGAAAAAGGAGCAGTATGATTTTTACTCACTTAAAGATTTCCTGGCTTTTGAATCCTGGAAAGTCATATGGTGGTGAAGGTGGGCGATCACAAAGATGTGTTGCTTCTTGGGCATTTAGACAGTGGGCAGCACAGCTTCTCCATGATGCAGTCTCCTGTGGAAAAGCAACCATTCTGAGAGTAATTGGGGGGCAATGAACATGTGGTGAGCCCACAAACCATGCTTACCTTCGCACACCCTGCATTTGTCATAATGATCCTTATTTTTAGAGACCCTGCTTGGTGCAATGCTGAAATATTTTGAATATAATAGATAAATAATATAAATATATGAACAAAAAATATAAAAAACAAATTACAAAAAATAAAAAATTCATGAGCATGGTACATTTTGTATTTGATGTTACCTATCTATTGGTGTGCAACATCTTTCCTTGCATGGTCATCATACATACATGGGAATTCTCTGACATACATGAAAGTGCTGGAGCCTCCAGCCTGGACAATAATTATAAATAAGAAGACACAAACAACAACATGTGTGTCATTGCGAAATGTTTAGGATGTATGCAGTGCATCGATGATATACTCTCAGGTAGATGAACTGAAAGCATCAATAATACCAGTGTTGACTGCAGTTCAATGATATCTTGCTTGCCTGAATTACCTATCCTAAAAGCACATCATATAAAACTAAGATTTACACCCTGGACAAAAGCAATGCATCATTATTTTCTAAGAATCAGTTTTTCATATTTCAAAATATTCTTACAGCAAATCTCCAGACACATACCAAACAGTGTGAAGTATTCCACACAAAATATCTGGCACAAAAGTACAACACACCTTTAGACACATGGACGCTGGCAATGGTGTGAGCACCACTGAGCATCTCTTGATCTGACTGGTGCCTGTATATTGGCCTGTATGCTGGGCACGGTTCTTCAAGCGTGGCTTGCTCAGGTCCTCGGAGCCAGCCATTCCCTTGAACTCTTGTCGATCAGTGCCTAACTTCAAAACTTTTCAACCATAGCTGGATCAAGCAGACAATTTGTCAATATTCCATTCAACCACACTCAGTTGACAGTCGCATACCCATGTGCACCTCCACACACAAGAGGCATGAAGAAGTATCTTTTATTTAAAGTCCAACCAATATAATTGCCAGAGCTGGCTTTTGTGAATGCAAACTTATACACCTCATAGTTAGGGTGATGGAACATAACCATAAGCACTGGGGCAAAAGGAAGCAGAAGCCATGCTACATAGTGTTATGCTGAGAAAAACGGAACTACATGAAAGATGCACTGATAATGGCTGCTGTGAAGTCCTTCAGCATTTGGCCACTTCGGTGGGAGATGTGTCAAGTACTTTCTTCATGTTTTTACACTCCTGACTTGAGGTTTACTGCCTGTAGACACTGCCTCTCGGTCAGGGTGTACTTTCCTACCTCATGTTACAAAAGAGCATTGTACATCAATCGTTGTTTTCAAGGCAGAAAATATCATAATTAATCGTAAAACAGATCATCTATACTCTTACCTTGGAACTTAACCAATTACGACACCGAACATCCAACCGCCGCAAACACACAGCACCCGCGACACCGGCGCCATTACTGTGCGCGGTCACATTACTGCGCATCAAGCAGCATCAAGAACCATAAAAATGTACGGGGCCAAGGTAAAAAGAATCACGGCACTCGGCGAAAGAATTCAGTCATATCTCCGAAGCACCAGACGGACTGAAAACTACACCCACAGATCACCACTTTTTTGCATGAAGGCTGCCGCTATCCGCGGAATTTACCCCAATCGAGGCTTTCGAGCTTTTGGGCCCCAGTAGGCACTTAGACTGGGCTCCGGCCCGGGTGATCGCATGACAGGAAAAAATGATCGCCTCAGGGTAGCCTAGGACGGTGAACCGAAGCTAGCGCGTTTACATCTCTCACTTACCTGACTGAGGTATCTTTGAGGAACGGTCGGGTAAAACAGCGCAGGAAGCTAAGGTCCTCAAGCTCCTCGGCCGGGGCTCCCGATCAAAACATGGCCAGGCTCATTCACGCGGCTCCACCTAACAGGAACAGTCAAGTCAATGCACACTGAGGCCAGGCCACTTACCAGAGTTCGGCTCATCACAAGCCTTCACAGAGCGGTAAAGACATGGTCAGATTAAACAGAAACAGATTTCTCTTTTGTTTAACATGAACATATTTATGTTCAAATCGAGCTGAATCATGACTCGGCTGACGAGTCAATCGCTTTGTGGAGCTGCGTCGATCACCAGGAAAAAATTCGCTTTGTGTTATGAACAGAATCACATGCCTCGTAAGTTTCATGGATTGAATCAAGAGCCGATCTAACAACGTTGCGTCAGTGAGCCCTATCGCCCGTACAAAAATGGTAGCACGAGGGAGCACAGCAAACCCCAGATAAATTGCTACAGACAGTTTCAAATTTTAAAAAGAGCGGCATCCAACATTCCTTATAAAGCTTTTTGGCAACCTTAGCTTTAAGTTTGCTAGTGCAGTTTCTAAACAAGAACCACAATATTGCTGATCCGAAACGAAAGCTTGCCATATTTCAGCCATGAATCAGAGGCGTGTATATAAAAGCTAGATATATGCATATACATATAAGCTATATATATATATATGCATATATATATATATATATATATATATATATATACATATATATATATATATATATATATATATATATCAATATCCCTTTCTAGTTAAGCCAGTTTGAAATTAGATGTAATAGATGTAGTAAATTAATACTCAAAGTCAACGCTGTTATCGTTGCCACCGTTTCACCCTTACGACGTCGCAGAACGCGTTCATTTGGCTACACCACTGCTCGTAGATCGTGCAAATTTACGTTCATTCATGGTCATCATGGCGCCTCACATGATATGTCAGATCGCTTAGGCACGTTTGCTAAAATTACTAGCATTTCCACTAGGGTAGCGATTCACACTTCCACAAGTACTTAAGAACATTGACACGGCGTTCGCATCCGCATCACTGCTAGATGCTGCGCAGGTGAAACACTGGATGCATCACGGCTATACCGCGATTTATTTTGCCACCTCACCGTTACAGGTCACCACCAGAAACCAGGTGACCAAAGCTAACTATGAGTGCACTCATGTCGTTTCAGCCTGCCTCATTAAGTAATCGATCACTTACGCTGTGCAGTGGTAGCAGAAACGATACTGCTACGCCAACGTTACGGCAGGTTTTATGTTTTATTTCTTGCGAAACACGCAAACGGATTCCACACGCGCTGCGCCCACCGCGGACATTCAGAGCAGAATGTACACAAAGTAGCCTTGACACGCGATCGGGCGGGGGTCAAATTGACCCCCCCCCCCCGAAGGCTTTCCAGAATGGTTTCCGAACGGCGCGGCGTAGCCGCGCCAAATTTTGCATGGCTGTAGACAATTGAATAGTAGATCGTTCGGTACAAAATGTATAATTTCGGGCGAATGAGAAGAATCCGGAGAAGGTCCCTGATTAACAGGGGCGCCTCGGCAAGCTAGCAGGAAGAACCTAGTAACAGTGCAGGACCCTCCGAGCAAATGCAAAAAATTAGGTGCAACGCGGAAGGCTTTTGAACGACCGCATTGACCTTGCCAGCGGGCATATATTCTTACCCGGAAACAGCGTAGGAGCCTTTGAACAACCTACTGAGCCTCAAAATCTCCCAACGATCACCCTCCCAATTAGTAAATTATTATTTTTGTCTGCTCGTGGGCCATTCACTTTCGCCTGCGACTGTTCTTGGTCGCCTCGGAGTACAAAAACAAACAATTTTGTTGTATTTTGTGCTAAAAGACTGCGTCTGGTCGGCCGGCTTTGGACGGCTTCGGCTTGGGCGGCCCTATGGACTCCTACGGCACCCAAGGGGGAGCATGACGCCGTGCCACCTCCCCCCCCCCCTCCGGATCCCCCTGGTTTTGCGAATTAGGAAAAGCTGGTACCAGAAACCTAGAGCTGTTCCCAATAATATCTGATATGTTCAATACATATCTGACTTCCAATACATGTCTGATATAGTCAAGTTTGGATATTTGAGAGTGCCCTTGAATAAATGTCCTGAGAAAAAACCGAGAGCGTTAATTTCAGGCATATTTTTGCGTTTAAGGTTTCCGAAATGTTCTAGATGCACTCGAAGTTGCAGGTGTTTCAAGTGGTTCATGGTGGATCATATGCTGAAGCATGTTAGGTAATGCAGAACCATAGCTTAGGGATAAGACCTGCCCCATTTGGTGCCAGATTCAGGATGTCTTTATGCTTAAGATCTCGCTGACATCTTTGCCATGGCTTGTAGAGTGGTCGAGTGCTTGGAAGCAATTACACTCGGTAGATTGAGATGGTTTTTCATAAAAAGAAAGCCATATGCATTCTTTGGTAAGCCATTTCGGTACAATGTGGATACCCGGAGCATGTGACATCAACATACCATTGGGGTGTTGCGTATATGAGGAAGAGGGTGGTCTGCCACACGCTTTTTCAGTGGCATAAATAACAGGAAACCCTCGGAACCATTCGATTCTGTAGTAGTATCATAGGGTTATTGACTGACATAATCAGGAAATGCAGTTTAATTCCCCAACAAGGCCATGATACAGTTATTACAAGTTTGCCATACAAGGTCATGAGGAGCGTGCCAACTGTCTGAATGTGTGTTTTGCTCGTAAGTTTTTCGACCCTGACGTTCGTATATTGCCTGACCCACCTCTACTCGATGCGCCTGGACTAGACAGCTTTGCCGTACCACATGGCCGTATAGCACGTTTGTTACGCAATATCAGTACACACAAGGTCTGTGGTCCTGACGGGCTCAGTGCCCGGATTCTCAGGGAAATGTGCCGAGGAGCTGTTCCGGTAGAAATAATATGCAAGCTTTCTGTGAACACTGGCGTCTTCCCCGCCATGTGGAAGCAAGCGATTGAGATACCGGTGCATAAGAAGGGGTCCACGTGAACATTCTTTTGATGAATTTATGTACGACTTTGTGTGATGTGTATGTGTGTGTTTGTGTGTGTGTGTGTGTGTGTGTGTGCGTGTGTGTGCGTGTGTGTGTGTGTGTGCGTGTGTGTGTGTGTGTGTGTGTGTGTGTGTGTGTGTGTGGTGTGTGTGTGTGTGTGTGTGTGTGTGTGTGTGTGTGTGTGTGTGTGTGTGTGTGTGTGTGTGTGTGTGTGTGTGCGTGTGTGTGTGTGTGTGTTTGATTAGGTTTTTGTTTGTGTGTGTATCGTAAATTTATTGGTTTCAAAACTCGACTACTTCCGTAATTGGGCTTTCGCCTGTGGAATGCTTATGTCCCAAATAAACATTAAACAATAAACGAAATCTAGGATGTACTTGAATATAAAAATCAACGAGCTGCACACATGAGATCTGGCTTGCTTTTTCTGGGTACAAGTCATAGTAACCCTCGACTTGGTAAGGGGAGGAGGTGACCCAACATCCTTGTAAGATTTTTTGAAGGATATCTTGCAATTGCTTCCAAACATTTTGCAGTCTACGGGACGTCCATTGCCCGTGTTTTGTCACAAGAAACGTGCTCGTGGCTTTATGGTTTCGGGGCAGTGGCGGTTTGTGCGGAACACTGCACGGCGACCTACGGGCGGCGTGGGCGGCGGGCGGCAACCGACCATACCGCGGAACGCGGGCGGGCCGGCACTGTTACAAGAGTGAAGCATTTATCATATATATATTTTCAAAAAAAAATATACTGTTGTACTTAGAATTATACAAGGAAAATGCCTGTTTCAATTTCGTTAACCTACACGGCACGGTCCTGTAGGCATGCTGAAAAGCTAAAAAAGTACCATTTTCTGGAAAATTCGCCCTTTTGATACGCCATAATGGGGTCAACTATTGAACTAACAACATGAGAGCTGCTACCAATCGCGAGAACTCATCGACGCAAACCTGCCAGTGGTTTCCGCTAAGCCATGTGTTCATTAATTTGAAAACGCCAGGAGGTGGGGTTGCATTGCCTCTCTCTTTATCAGTCCGCGTCATGGAAAATGGCGAATCAGGGTAACTGTTAAGGGGGCAGATCAGGCCAGTTATGACCAGATCAGACCAGTAATGACGAGATCAGGCGAGTTATGACCAGATCAGACCAGTTATGAACAGATCAGGCCAGTTATGTTTTGTGGGAGACAGGCGCAAACCTTTTGACCCCTGCACGCGGGGACTCATCTGTGCTGTACATGTGGGGCCCAGTCGGGGCCCTCTCTTGGGGGCCTCTCGGCCCACTTGCGACAGGCGTATGCAGCCTACCGCGTACAAGCGGGGCGTCGCGGAGATTCAGGATAAAGCAAGAGAGGATACAAGGGTCGAATCGGCCAAAGGCGCCACATAACGACCAGAACGGTCCTGATCAGCTGTCATTATCACTTTTTACGTCAGATGCGGTACAACGGTCTCATCACGAGCACAACAGGGCCAAGGTCTGCCCCAGGGAAGTGTAAGGTGTGGTATTTTTGTTTGATGAATGCGTAGACTGTGGCGTTCACTCTTTGCGCCCCCCCCCCCCCGGGAGTGTACACTCGCCATCACTACTCCTCACCATGATCAACAGCATGTTCAAGGACTGTGCCACCAAACGCCTTAATTACTTACTTTTCGCGGACGATGTGGCCATTTGGCCATATTTGGCTGCCCTATCAGGGCTGAAAGAATGGTACAGAAAGGCCTTGAGCACACTGAATCGCGGTGACAACAGCGGGGCTTCGCCTCGTCCACAGGCAAATCCGCCACAACCGCTTACCCCAAGTCGACCGTCCAGCACCGTCGTCTTCAAACCAACGATAAAGCTACGAAGCAGCTTAAAAGCTTTGAACTCAGATTCAACACTGACGTCAGAGAAGTCTCCGCCGGGTGAGAAAAACGCACCAACATCCTCCGTACACTCGGCGCCGTGGACTGGGGAGGCGGCCGCAAAACGGTTCTTCAGCTCTACACGGCAGCCATCAGGTGGGTTATATCCCGTACAACTTTGCTTCTGCAACGGCGAATAATCAAGCAACGAAAATGTGAACACCCCACATCATTTCTCCCGCAAGTATAGATGATAAGGACAGCGGCAGTCCTCCGGCCTCTCGTAACCCACCCTCGGGAACAGTCCGGCGCACTCGTCGGGGGTGCGGCTCCAGGCAACCGACCGAAGATCAGAAACCTGAGCCCGGGTGCAGCAGCGCACTTTGCGAACTTGCTGTTCGGTTTGTACAGCGTCATCCACTCCTTTGCTGTTTGGCCGCTGTCACTGCCCTGTAGCCCACCTCCGCATCTTGTGTGAACACTTAATGTCACGTAAACAACTGACTTGCTTACAATATGATACACCTAACGTGAAGTGCTCACTTACCGCTCAAGCACATAGGATGTAGACTAAACAATCTTATCTTCTTTACAGGTGGCTGAAATGACTGATGGTCTGGAACGCCTTAACGCCTTAACGCCTGATACAGGCACCCACACATACGCACACGTCACCGTTTATATTCAAAGTTTCGGTCGACTTGAAAACGTGAGATCACTGTTGGCGTATGCGTTGACACTGATGTGGAGTGGGTGTTGGTGTGCATGCCACGTGTGTTCACTACTGGCAAACAGGAGCTCTAGCCTGACAAGATTTATCTTGGCTTGACTCGCAAGGAGACTGACACGGATGGGACTGATTTATCTTGGCTTGACTCGCAAGGAGACTGGCACGGATGGGACTGCTTTGAGTAACACTGCGACGCAACCAGTTGGCAGTCTGCTCCAGATATACCAAAGGTCGAAAACTCAGCACAAGAACTCTGAACCCACAGTTGCTCTCCTAGCCCAACCACTGATCGTTCTGACCGTGTTGCCACGCTTCACGGCTGTAGTTCACACCAGTGCAGTTCACACCGAGGCAGATGAAGAATCGCCGGCATATCTGGCCGTGTATTTCGAAAATTCGTGCCCTGCACTGTCCTAAAGTCTTTCCTGTTTAGATGACAAATGCAGATTCAGTTGTCGATGCAGAGAGGATAAAGAGATACGGTAAGCCAGTTTTCTCCCGCAATTCACGGACTTGATGAACTTTCACAATGCCACAATTTTACGACTTGAAGGAAGCCGGAGCAACGTTTATGTGCCATGCGCAGCGCTTACGTCTGCTCTTTGAAGCGGCGCCTGCGAACAGCCCCGTCTCGCCCTTCTTCTGATGGACCAGTGGCAGCACGCCACCCACGGCTGAACTCGCCGCTGATTGGCTGCCCGCAGGCTGGGGGCTGACGCAGCAGGGGGGCTCAGCTGGCCTTCACGAGCGTGACGTATGAGCGTACGCAGGTGCCTTGCAGACGAACGGCCGCTTCACCCTCTCGCAGTCGATGTCGTTCCACTCACCGAAACCGAACACCACCTGTCGGTAGAGCGGAGAATCAAAGGGAATGTTTCACGTTCGAAGATATTAAAGCAACCATCAGATATGATGAAACAAGGTCACTTATAACTATTGGCAACTTTTTAAGTGAAAACTGCTTTAGACAGCACAATTCTCTTTTTTGGAAACATGCTCCCAAATGCGTCATGATTTGATTGCGTCATCGTACCTTGCACAACATTGATTAAGAGCCAATTGACGCAAACATCAGGTATAAACGCCCCGACAGTTATACTTTTCTTGGCCTTGATCACCGTATGGCTTATGACATGGCAGAACCCGAATGACGTTGTTATGACGCCACGAATGCCAAAGTGACTTTAACATGCTCCCCCCGATATACCTCTCTCCATTTTGCTGGCACGTAGCTCAGAAACTAGATGGGCTTTGGTGTTAAGAAGGACCTGATTACCCACAGCGCCGAAAGGTCATTCAAGATGACTAATTTAGTTCAAAGCACCATATGAGTGTGGAACACGCCCTTTAATGCTGCCCAGTTGTCCTAGTGCCTTCCCACACATCAGTGGCACTATGTAGCGCACCAATCCTCTCGAGGGGTATTTCATGGGCCTGTCGGGAGTGAGGATGAGAGCAGACAAATGTCCCCCTGCGGCTCCCCAACACTCACGAAATTGTCTCTGCATGTGGCATGTCAGTGAGCAAGCTTTAACTGCGCTTTACTTGACTGAGAATGGTGCTTGACTGTTCGCCCCTCCCTCATCTCAGGAAATCTTGCCCTGATTCACGTCACGTCATACTGACGTGAATCAGGACAAGTGACGTCACGTACATACAGACATAATGACGTCACGGCATACTGCAGTGTGAGGCACCAGATCCTGCGTAAAGTCGGGAGTGTCTGGGGAAAACGTAGATCCTGCGTAAAGTCACGCGTGTCTGGGGAAAACGCAGATCCTATGTAAAGTCACGCGTGTCTGGGGAAAACGTAGAGCCTGCGCAAAGTCACGTGTGTCTGGGGAAAACACAGATCCTGCGTAAAGTCAAGCGTGTCTGGGGAAGACGCAGTGACAGCGATTCCAAGAGAGAAAGAAACACCCGTGTGAGTTAGAAGTGCTGTTTTCGGGAAGTCCAGTCCCGAAGTCAAAATACGGCCGCGTTGTCCGTTCAAAAAGTGCTTAAGGAACCAGGCTATGCAACAGTTCCCACGTCAGAAACAACTACTAGCTATGACTTACAACCTCAGCCGCTATCAGCGCCGCCGTAACTCAATCAAAACAATCGACAATCAGTCGAACAAAATAAAAACAAATCAAAATGATCGTAGTTCAGGTGTGTATCACAGGTTTGTGTGGAACATTTGCAAGTACGATTCACATCGATATCCGCTAATCTTGGCATCACTAAGCGCGACGAAGGCCACCTGGTCGGATGGTAAGCGGAAACGAATTGCAACATGGTAACTCATGAGCATCGCAGGGTCGTCTGAAGACTTTTACATCGATTCCCTTTCAATCTTCTATCGATGTTTTGCAGGATAGAAACTTTCTATCTCATGTTTGAAAAAGTACTTTCTGGTGTGCTCCATCAACAGCCTGTTAATGTTCCAGAATTAAGCTTTTTTTTAAATCTGCGCCCGGTTGGGAGTTTGAGACAACTACGTCCGGCCGGGGGGGGGGGGGGGGGGGGGGGGTTGATTTCCCGCTGGGATCTCCCACTTCTAGACGTTGTACGGGAAAACACAAAGATAGTCGACCGTAAGTGCACCAGAAGTCACAAAAGGAAAACAGGTTGTCCTGAAAGATGAAGTTAAACATATGTTAAAGGAAATGTTTTACATTTGAAGATATTACAGGAAGGGTAAAGTATGATGCAACAACCTCCTTTATAACTATTAGTATACTTTAAGTGGAAAAGGTTGCTCTTGACAACACAATTTCTCTTTCGTAGATATCCTCCCCGATACGTCACTGTTTGATTGCATCATCGTACCTTGCACAGCAGTGATTGATATTCGGTTGGCGGTCGTTAGATCTCGAAATCGTGCCCACCAAGCAAGATATGAATGACTAGACCACTATTTTTCATCATCTTGATCGTCGCATGGCTTGTGGAATTGAAAGATTTGAATGCCATAATTATGACGTCATTAATGTCAATATGACCTTGAGATACCCCCCTCGAAACAGTCTCCCCATCTTCGCGGCGTGCGGCTCAGAACCCAGTGGGGTTAAGGTCTTAAGAAGGGCCGTTAACGTTCTTAACGGCACGTTAACGTTCGTAACGGCACGAACCGAACGGCGGTGAACTGCACCAAATGATCTTCCAAATGGCCACATATCATTTCAAAACCCAGTAAAAGTGTGGAACACTTCCTTTAATGCGTCAAGACGGATACTGAAGGCACATAAGTTAGCGTTAATAATGTGGGGGTCCGTTTTGGCGCTTTTCGTTCCTCACAGTGGTCAGGTCAAGTTACGCCATCGTTCAAAACCGACAAACAAGCCAAACAGTGCCATGAAACGGGACAAATGTACGAGCGACAGCGGTAGGATGTTCCCCGCTCGTAACGCGGAGTCGGACGGCGATGGGGTCATATCCGCATAGCGAATGTAGCCACGTTTTGTGTTGACACTCATATTGAATCATTCATTTCCAGCAGCGTATAACTACATTTGACTCATACTGAGCAAGACACGCTTTCAGAAACGCGTGGAATGTGGGTCAAAATTCGCCAGCTCTCTTGCCTGAGCTATGCAAAAACGAATATTCAGTTCGGCAGCTAACGCTGATGGTGCAACCGTATCTATATAACCCATGTACGCGCTTACCTGGAATTAATTTTTAACAAGCATTGACGTAGAAAAAGCACGTCTTCGAGTGAGGGTCAATTTGACCTACAAATGTTTTTTTCCGAAAGAACTTCTGCACTAAAACCTTATCCAGCTTTGGACAATTTAATCGCTGGTCTTTTGACAAAAAATCATCGATATGTTCTTGGCCTATAGGTGGTCAGTTAGGTTTTTCCGGAAGGAAATTTCTATGGAAACTCACCATATGATGCGACAAAGAACTGTTAGACGAGTTCATGCAACTTTGGAATGTTTTCTTACGCAATGAAACAGTTACTGTTGATTGAGGTCATAGCTCTTTATCAATATGACACATATTTTTATACGCAACTAACCCCTCTTGTAGATCTTTGCAATACTGATCGATGCACCATCGTTACCTGACATCCATGTTCTGACAGTGACCTGCAACGAAACCAACTCCTTTTCTGGAGCCCGAGTTCAAATCTTGCACGAAGCGTAACTGTTTCAGTGGAGCTGTTGTGAACGGGAGTGTTCAACATTTGTATGAGGTTTTTAATGGAAATAGCCATCTTGAAGAACATTCGGTGTACTTCGAAGCCCTGCCCTTCTCAAGAACTAAAATCCCCCGGTTTCTGAACTACAAGCCTGCGAAAATATGCAGACAATTTCAAATTCACTTAGACATGCATAACACCGCATAATCATCCTTCAAATACTGCCATCCCATTCCGCACGCATCGCTCAAGGCTAAGAAGAATATAATCTCGAGTCATTCATGTCTGACGTTCGTGATCGCGCTTTACCAGATATAACAAACTTTAAATGGATCTCGATCAATGTTGTGCAGGCAATGCAGTTCAAACACGAATCAGTCACGGTACAGATTTAAACAGCACGTTTTGCACTACATGATAAAGATGTTACGGAAATACGACTTGAAATCGAACAAGAATAACGCCATAAGCGTGTATGTGAACATAAGCAGAAATTCAAACTCCCCGGCAAGTTTTCAAGAACACAACGAGGGCCAAAACACGAGCCCATAACGATACTTGTTTCAGCAAACACGTTCAGCACCACCACTGCCATCTCGTGGTGAGCTAAAATGCTACGAGTGAGTGTTAGGGTGGCAATTTTGCACGGCCAGTTTGGCCGTACCCCTGATATTATGCAAACGTTCCGTGACGCGATCAAACGATGATGGATTAAGAGGCATATTTGCTAAATGGAGAAATTATGTAGCTTAGAGCAGTCTTTCCCACCTCCAGGTATACCTATGGTTAGGAGTGGGCTCAGTTCATCAAATATGATGCTTTCTTCAATGAAATCAAATGTTGAATATTCCCTTTAAGACCGATGTGCGAGATCGACACGAAAATGACCTGTTGCAGCAATACAAATTACCCTTGAATATCTGTCTGAATTACCTGATGAATGACATCTGAACTGAACTGAACTGAATGCTTACCTGAACTGACCCGACGTCAGCCCACTCACTATCAGCCCATCAGCCCAGGTGCCATCCACCGCCGCTATCAGCCCATTAGGCCAGCGACCATCACCATCACCGCGACGTAAGCCCAGTACGCCCATCCATATCATATCATCCTACCGCATTCACCCAATCACCTACCGTCTGATCTATACACCAATCACCTGGTCATCTACCGTCTGATCTAAGCACCAATCACCCGATCACCTACCGTCTGATCTATACACCAATCACCTGGTCATTTACCGTCTGATCTATACACCAATCAGCCGATCACCTACCGTCTGATTTAAACACCAATCAGCCGATCACCTACCGTCTGATCTAAACACCAATCACCCGGTCACCTACCGTCTGATCTATACGCTAATCACCTGATCACCTACCGTCTGATCTGAACACCCATCACCCGATCACCTACCGTCTGATCTATACACCAATCACCTGATCACCTACCTTCTGATTTAAACACCAATCAGCGGATCACCTACCGTCTGATCTAAACACCAATCACCTGATCCCCTACCCTCTGATCTATACACCAATAACTCGATCACCTACCGTATGATCTATACACCAATCACCTGATCACCTACCGTCTGAATTAAACACCAATCAGCGGATCACCTACCGTCTGATCTAAACACCAATCACCTGATCCCCTATCCTCTGATCTATACACCAACAACTCGATCACCTACCGTCTGATCCATGCACCAATCACATGGCCTGTAAGTTACGTGCCAATGGCCTATACCTTTGGGGCACCGGTTGCCTGAACTCCCAGCGCAGATGACCTGAGTTGCGGTCGCGCCTGCCCTGAGCTCGGTGACCTGAGATGAGGCCACGCCTGCCCTGAGCGCGGTGACCTGAGGTGCAGCAGCGCCTGCTCTGAGCTCGGTGACCTGAGATGAGGCCGCACCTGCCCTGAGCTCGGTGACCTGAGATGAGGCCGCGCCTGCCCTGAGCTCGGTGACCTGAGATGCAGCCGCGCCTGCCCTGAGCTCGGTGACCTGAGGTGCAGCAGCGCCTGCCGTGAGCTCGGTGACCTGAGGTGCAGCAGCGCCTGCCCTGAGCTCGGTGACCTGAGGTGCAGCAGCGCCTACCCTGAGCTCGGTGACCTGAGGTGCAGCAGCGCCTGCCCTGAGCTCGGTGACCTGAGGTGCAGCAGCGCCTGCCCTGAGCTCGGTGACCTGAGATGCAGCCGCGCCTGCCCTGAGCTCGGTGACCTGAGATGCAGCAGCGCCTGCCCTGAGCTCGGTGACCTGAGGTGCAGCAGCGCCTGCCCTGAGCTCGGTGACCTGAGGTGCAGCCGCGCCTGCCCTGAGCTCGGTGACCTGAGGTGCAGCCGCGCCCACCCTGAGCTCGGTGACCTGAGATGCAGCAGCGCCTGCCCTGAGCTCGGTGACCTGAGATGCAGCAGCGCCTACCCTGAGCTCGGTGACCTGAGGTGCAGCAGCGCCTACCCTGAGCTCGGTGACCTGAGGTGCAGCCGCGCCTGCCCTGAGCTCGGTGACCTGAGGTGCAGCAGCGCCTACCCTGAGCTCGGCGCAGTCCTCGCCGTCCGGACCGCCGTAGAGGACCGAGTTGGTGGGCTCGCCAAGGCTCCACTTGACCAGGTTCAGTGGAGTGCCATCCGTCCAGACGAACTGACCCTCATGCGCCTTGTCGGTCAGCCCTGCTCGTGCAACCGGGAGACGGATACGGACAGAACGCACGCCGACAGAGAAAGCAGGGACCGACACTGCCAAGTCACTGGGTACAAGATCAAGAAAGTGAAGGGGCAAAGGAGTTAACGGATATCCGGGCAACGACCGTTACATCATGAGAAACTAGCGAGGGATGGACGAACCAGCAGACTAGTGGGCAAAAGAACAGAGCGTGAATAGTACAGACAGGCGCACGAACAGCACAGAAGCTCACAAAGAGCGAATGAACGACAAAACAGTGGGTCACAGGAGGTGGAGGAGAAAAGAGGACAAACGCACGGCGATTGATAAGAAGCGGGAACAACATCTGAGCAGGGACAACACAACGAAAAACAAATGTTACGTTTTGAATGATGAAGATGAGGAAAATCAGTATCGAGAAGCTCAAGAGGCGCGTCTGAGCCTGAACGACTTCATGAACTGGGAATGAACACGGACAACTGTAGAAAGAATAGAACTGCAAAAAGAAAGGCATTTATTAGATAAGGTGATGACATTGCAATAGCCGGAGTAGCCGGAGCATGCTTAATGGAGCATGCTTCGAGAGGACGTGCATCGCGTTATGGCCCCTACGCCAGCACAACAGAGCGCCCTTGAAGGCTTTTCTGAAGTCCGCTTTGCTTAAGTCGGCTTACTCGTCTGAAGTCGGCTTACTAGTCTGAAGTCGGCTTACTCGTGCTGGGTCCAGAGTAAGCTGAGCTCAAGCGCCGATAGCACACCATTGTGTTTCAGTGAAGCTGAGGCATGCATGTGCGGCTGTGCAGGTGGAAGCCCGGGCATGGTTATAAATTACGTATTGGTGCCGAAGCAATCAACCCCAACGGCTGGCTCCATTCATTTCGCAAGTGGCCGTAACGCTGGGCGTAAGTGGCAGTGGTTTCTAGGCCTGTATATAAAGCACGCAGAGCGATAATGTTCATGATTGGAGCATGCATTAATGAATCCCGACCATTGGTTAGTGGTAGGCGCCAGTGACAGCTAGAGTCTCTGGCACGATTGCATCTCTGTTATTTACGGCCATTTTGTCTGGCACGTATTATCAGTCACTTTCCATTTGATACATTTTGCGGGGCCGTATTGACCCTTCTTAGGGGCGTCGATTTGTGTTCTTTTGTTAGGGCCCTGTCCACATGTCGGTCTGTGGCACCCAGTGTTGGTTTGGGCTCTTCAACGTTGGCTTGCGGGCTCCAGTGTTGCTTTGCGCCCTCGACATCTTCATGGAATATTACAAAAAAGGATGGAGGAATCTTAACATCGCTCAAGGTCTACGCTCGTTAGACACTTTCTGCTAGCCATGACCACTTTGCTGACGCGATCACGTCAGGGTAAAATACCTCTTCACCGTGATTATTCGTGATTCAGCTCTGATTACAGTCTCCGTAGAGAATTACCTTGTAGACCAGATTAAACGCCGAAAATCACCTTTCTAGCTTTAGCTGGCCCTAACGTGCCCTAACCAATTCGGGTCTTAGTCGGCAAGTTTAGCTAGGACTCACGCGCTTAAACATCCGGCAAGCTTCGTTTTCTACTTGGAGTCACACAAATCATAAATTGGTATCTTTAACCTTTGTTTAAGGTGACGAAAGTCGCTGTTTTGTCTTCCATTGTTTTTGATGCTATTACCACTTACCGACCCGGGGCCCTTGCTACTCAATACTCAGGTCCTCTACGGTAAGAAGGTGGATGTGGTATTGCTTAAGTATTCGAACAAGGCCGGAAAGCCTAGAATGAAGCAGACGAAGCAGGGATGTTGATTGGTTTCCTGTTAATGAGAGCCATGGTGCATGCAATGCGCGTACTGGCTTCCGAAAGTCTTATTTTTGCACTGTTTTCTGCCTGTTTTAACAAATAAACTCATGTGAACACGAAAACTAAGGTATGCAACAGATGCTGAACGGGGACTATGAAAGTTGGCCTAAAATAACATCATGACAGTTATCATATCTGTATGCACCTGTTTCTCTCTATTTGGTTACTCAACTAACTGTACCAAACAAAAACTTCAAAGCTGTTCTTGGCCAAAATGAAGTATGCTGCATCCATAGAAACCCTACTTTGGACAAAAGTCAGTTGTCGGAATATCGGCTTGTCTCTCTCCCCCTTCCCCCGAATTATTTACACGAAACGACGCTCCTGATCATGCCCATGTCTGTCCCTGGCACTGTTCACCTGCGCATGGTCCTAAAGCGTCTTGTTCATAACAGAACATGCCCACAGCATTGGTCTCACTCTCACCTATGTGGATGCCGGTGATTACCTTGCACTGGCTCTTGTGGCAGATGGGCCCAAAGCGTCCTGTTAAAAACAAGCAAGCTGCCTCACCGTGGCGCCGAAGCCGCCGGGCCACCGGCAGCCAGCGAAGTCTGCCGCAAATGCAATGACGTTTCGCCGCTCCTCAGTTGACCAACGCGTACTGGCAGGGAGTGATTCAAGATAGGAGTTGGGGGCAAGGGTGTAGTCATTCTAAATGAGTGTGTGGGAGGGGAGGGGGGGGGGTATGGGAGTGTGGGGGACGTGGGTGGGAGGCTCAGCAGGAAAATGCCTAAAACTACCCAGAGTCTACACATCGAAAACGGGTACGGTATCGGTGCGGCAAAACGGTTATCATCTGGATTTGACCCACATTTCTCTCAAAACTGGGGTGAGGCGGTCGGCGCGGGACCCGTTCCCCATCTGAGTAAGAGGAAACACCCCTGAGACGGAGGACGTTGAAAATTAGGTGTAGCCAAGTGGCCTGATAATCTCACGGCCACAACCGATGTGACAGACTGCTGAAAATTGTAAAAAAAAGGAGACCATGGTAAGGCGAGGGCACGAGCAAGGCCATGGCAGATGCCTCAGTTGCAGCAGCAGCACCGGTATATTAGTCATATTACATTGGTCTTCGGCAGAGAAACTCTACACAAATGACAGATCCGTGTTTATCAGAAACATGGTAGCGCATAAACACAGCAGACCCAAAGCTCAAAATGCTGGAAGCACTGCTAGATCACTGCATTAGTTTCAGAGAAAATTTCACTGTTGATCAACATCCATTGATGCCTAGCACACTCACCGATAAGGAACATGCTCTCGGTGTTGCTGTGCACGCTGGCCAGATGAGAGTGGTAGTGGAGGCAGAGGCGGTTTGCCTGGTTCCAGGAGACCTGGTACGGGAACCGCCTGTAGCAGGAGTCCCCCCACGGAATCCAGCGACGGAGGCACGGCTCTAAGCAGAAGGAGGGGCCGGCCGGAGGGCAGGGAAGGCATGCAACGGTGAGGTGGATGCATGAAGGCTGATTGGTTGGTTAAAGGGGAAACGTGAGACAGATTTTCCAGAGAGCGAAAGCGAGAGAGAGAGAGAGAGAGAGAGAGAGAGAGAGAGAGAGAGAGAGAGAGAAGAGAGAGAGAGAGAGAGAGAGATAGAGAGAGAGAGAGAGAGAGGAAGAGAGAGAGAGAGAGAGAGAGAGAGAGAGAGAGAGAGAGAGAGAATAATGAAGGTCAGAACATGGAAAGTGATGGGAAGAAACAGATCTCAATAATGCAGACATAAACATACGGCAAACAACATAAATCACAAGGACAAAGGACTAGACATAGAAACGAGGAAAAGAGCAAGGCAGAGAGGAAATCGAAGGATGAGAAAGGAATGAATCAAAAAAGAGGATAGGTCTTGATGGGCAACGTGTTCAGTGAAGAGGGTATGCTGCAGGCTTCGCTAAGACCGGGAGAACATTTTAAAACGTGTTCTTATGAGTTATCTCGGACCATCAGAGGTATTCATAGTCCAGTTGCAAACTTGAAGAGAAAAGGCGTACGTAGACTGGACCGCTCAATGGACTTGCCAGTGTTCTCAAGAAGAACGAAACAAAATATATAAAGTTTGTTCTTACTCAACGGCACCTTCTCGGTGATGGTGCTTTTAGTGGTGGGGGTGGTTGCTTTGGTTGTCATTTGGTCGTTCATCGCCATGTCCGTGCTGGCGGTGGTTGTGTTGTTTGTCACTTGATCGATCATCGCCATGTTCGTGCTGGAGGAGGTTGTTTTGGTTGTCGCCTGGTCGATCATCGCCATGTTCGTGGTGGCGGTGGTTGTATTGGTTGTAGCTTGGTCGTTTATCACCATGTTCGTGCTGGCGGTGGTTGTTTTGGTTGTCGCCTGGTCGTTTATCACCATGTTCGTGGTGGCCGTGGTTGTGCTGATTGTCGTTTGGTCGTTCATCGCTTCTCTTGTCCTTCGTGTGCTTTGTTTATCCTTCAAAGGCCGGGTAGTTTTAATTATTCTGGTAGCGGAGGCCGTTGGCGTAGTTGCTTCCATTCCTGTGGTTACTTTTTCCTCCTCAGAAGTTTTCTTTGTAAACTTGACAGTGATTCTCGTTTTCGTGGTAATAGTTCTGGGCGTGCTGCTGGTGATGATGGTGGTAGTGGTGATGTTCGCTACGGCTGTCTTATTATTGCTGGAGGATTCTGGGGAACTGAGACCGATGCCGGCCATATTTGTTGCTAACGCTGGACTTGCCATTGGTTCTTTTGACGCCGGCACTGGAAGCCTCGATGGTGCCTTCGGAGACGCGAAAGGCCTCATTGTGAACGCAATGCGATTTTTTTTGGTGGTCTCCGACTGCTCTTGATCCGTTTGTCTCCTGGCCAGTGTCGATATTGCAGTTTTCGGTGCATGTACCCTTCGTGTCCTGGTGAGCATTACCAGGGGCGCCATGGTGATGCCACCAAAAAGGGCGCTAGCGTTCTGCCCCCACGCAAGCTTCGGCATACTGACACCAGGGAACTTGTTCCCTGGTCCATATTTCAGGTCGCCGGTCCTGCTGAGGCCCGGAGTGCTCGGCCCCAGGTCGATCTGAGACTTCTTACGGATAACCACCAGCACTTCATTCTGGGCTGCGGTTCTGTTCTTTACCAGTGTGTTCTCCTCGACGGCACCCACCATCAGTGCAGTCTGCTGGCTCTTCTGACCAGGATGAACGCCCAGCCGGCTTCTCCACCTGTCGGACGCACGCTGAGGCAGGAGTCGGGCCAGCAGACGAGACACTTGCCGAAGAATGCCGCTTCCGAACTTGGTCACGTTGCTTGAGCGCAGTTCGTTCTTGACGGCGGAGACGTCTGCGACATCCCTGGCGTGTCTTCTGGCGGCGCCGGTCTGCGGTGACAGCAGCGCGGGATCCATGGCCAGTGTGTCTTCGTAGTAATCCTGCTCCAAACTGTGTATATCGCTGATGTTGGAGTGCGTGCCGTAAGAGTCTGGCTCTGGGAAGATGACCAAGGGCACTGAAAGCACTGGGTCCGGGGTGGAAACCGCGGACAACGGATGAGCGGCCGGGAAAGGAGTACTACAAGAAACGCGGAGGGGACGGGACCGAGGAGCAGACCAGACGGCACGGAAGGAATCAGCCCAGCTGGAGGAACTAGGGGCTTATTAGGCCGAGATCCGATCGAACCCATATGAAACCGCAACATAACATGGGTTAGTGGAAGCTGCGATTAAGCAAAGCAGCCAGCCGACTCCCGTAATGGGCGCACATGAGCAAGCATGTGGCACCCACGATCAGGCTGATGTGTTCTGGTAAAGGATAGCTTTGGTCGGACGTCACTTTCAAGCAAGCACGGACGAAGCGCGTGTATTGTGCCGCAAATCAATTCACGAAAAAATAAACACGCATAATGACGAATTGGTGTAGTTAAACACGCCCTCCTGAAAATACACCCCGGCGGGGGGCAAACGATCTAAAACTGCCGTCTGCCACACTACGGATGGATTACGGACTGCGGGTAGTTTGGAAATCACCAGCAGGTCCGATCGGTCAAGTAGATCCGTAAAGTCCTAGGCCACGAGACGTTAGCTCCGCCCCGACTCCGCGGTCAATATTCAGTGCGGTAGCCAACGGGCGGATGAAAATAATGACGCATTTGAAAGAGGTGTCTGTGAGCCGGCTAGGACATCGATTTGTACATTTAGAAGTTTGTCCGGACTTACATTTCACCTGTGCAATTTCTACATTGATAATAAGAGCGAAATACCCTGTACAGCACCACGAGGTGGTGCTGGTGTCTGGTGGTGCTGGTGCTTGGAAGAGGAAAGGTAGAAGCTGTGTTTTTCGTGTTGCTGTAACTGTCGATTTGTACAGAGGACAGCCTCAAAACTGAAGAATGCACCCAAGTCTAATCTTTGAACGGTGCAAATTAGTTTTGAAAGACCTGCGCCGAAACAATATTTTACGAGCCCCCATCCAGCGCTCTTCCCATTCTTGCTTCCCAATGGGGGCTCTTCCCAGAGGCCCCATGCAGCACTAAAACCACCATCCACGATTGTCTCACAGCCCCACGGCTTCATGACAAGAGCTGGGCCCATGTCCGGGTAGAAACCCGTTTTTGGGGCATTTTTCCGGGGTCTGTTGAGCCATTTTTGGCTGTTCAAGCGCCTCCTCCCAGCTCATTTTGCGAGGCTTTGCCTCGTTGCTCGATCATTTCCCAGATTGAAAACCGGCGAGATTTCACATGTCTACTTCACGGATCGGACCTGCTGGGTTCTTCGTGCCTGCGCTCTGTCCGTAATCCACCGGAAGTGTGTCAGGCAGTCGTTTTAGACTGCTTGCGCCACGTCCTTGATGTATTTACAGGTGGTCGTGGTTAGCTAAATTAACGTTTCAATATTCGCGAGCTGAACATCTATTCTTGAACATCTATTTTTGTTTTCAAATTTTGACTCAGAAATGCAATGTGCTTTTCGCCCACTAGATACTCATTCATAATAGCACATAACAGTTCACCAGATCTTGCAAAGTGGTAAGTTATAAGATGAGCCTTCAGTTCAATGAGGGAAGTGATGCACCATATATATATGTACATATATATATATATATATATATATATATATATATATATATATATATATGTACATATATATATGGTGCATCACTTCCCTCATTGAACTAAAGGCTCATCTTATAACTTACCACTTTGCAAGATCTGGTGAACTATATATATATATATATATATATATATATATATATATATATATATATACATATATATATAAATATGCACATATATATACATATATATAAATATATATATATATATATATATATATATATATATATATATATATATATATATATATATATGTATATATGTGTGTGTGTGTGTGTGTGTGTGTGTGTGTGTGTGTGTGTGTGTGTGTGTGTGTGTGTGTGTGTGTGTGTGTGTGTGTGTGTGTGTGTGTGTGTGTGTGTGTGTGTGTGTGTGTGTGTGCGTGTGCGTATGCGCGTGCGCGGGTGCGTGTGAACCCCTGTCAACACGAAGGAGAGCAAAGTGAAGGGAGAAATTAAGACAGGCTTAATCCTGCAAGTCCTGGATTATTTCATCACCTTTGACCACCTTCTGGGCGAGAGGTAGGGGAGGAGGACTGCATTTCATGCAGCAGCAATGCTCAAATGCAATGATTTCAGCATTTGCAGCACATGCAATTATTTCAGCATTTCAGCATTTTCAGCATTCCAGCAATTATTTCAGTATTTCAGCATTTTCAGCATTCCAGCAATGATTTCAGCATTTCAGCATTTTCAGCATTCCAGCAGTGATTTCAGCATGTCAGGGTCTCCCCTTACAAATCACCGAAACAAATTACAAATTTTGCAAAAAACAAACAAATTTTAGGGCCGCTAGCTTGCATTTTGATGGTCGTAACGGCTCCACAGTGGCACCAAACGAAACAGCATGTTCCTGCACTTTAGAATCATATCATGATTTAACAAATACAGGGTTCAAGTACGGGCCAAGATCAGATCAAGGTCATATCAGATGAAAGTCATGCCAGGTCGTGGTCGGGTCATTTCACTGCACATTCTAAATCCACATGACGTTCAGTGGTAAGCGTGTTGCAAATGCGTCGGCTAATTTTTGTCATATAATCACATGGTCACGTGCCAGATAGACAAAGGCCATAGTTCATATCTCGTCTGTCTAGATTTTAGTGCGGCGTCTGATACGGTGTCACACGAACTTCTGCTGAATCATTAAAAATTATATGGCATTGAGGTAAAATTATCGGCTGGAGAAGGACTTAGCTGCTAGACAGGAGGCAAAGAGCAGTGCTCAATGGTACAAAACCGCAGTGGGAGTCAGTAGAGACTGGGATTCCACAGCGGTCGCTATTGGGTCCTTTCTTCTTTATTATTTTTGTGAATAATATTGGGGTAGGATTGGAGAGTAAAACGCCAAAATTTGCTGACGATATTCTATGGGCAGGAGTGTAGAAAAATACCGACCGGGTGAACGGAATGCACCTTGACGTAAAGGAACGAGTGAACCGGGCTCCTCTGTGGTAGATGTCATTCATTTATGATAAGTGTGCGGTGATGCATTTGGGTAGTTTTAGCAGCGAAGGCATTAGCTATAAAATGGGAGGCCGGGATTTAGACCAGACCGGGGAAGAACAGGACTAAGGGGTTTATTAAGGGATAGGGGATATATTATAGATTTATAGGGATTTAAAGGCTGAAACACTGATTTAAAGACTACACACCAAGACTACACCAAGAGCATCTTGAGCAGGCTTGGTCCCCATGCTTCCAAAAAGATATAGGAAGCCTAGAAAAATTACAGCGAAAAACTACTAGGATAATAAATGAAACTGGTGGTTTAAAATATAAGAATAGACTTAAGTCCTTAGATTCGTATTCACTGAAATACCGTGGACTTAGACGGAATCTGATAGAGGCATTCAATATTATGAAGGGGTAGACAGGGGAAATATACATGGGGCGCCGGGAATGAGGCCGACACAAAGAGAAAACCAGTCTTATTTAGCAAAAGGTAGGAGTACAACTATGAAAATGCAGATGTCATTTAGCCAAAGTGCACTGAACCTTTGGGATGGGCTGTTAAACGAAGCTGTAAGAAGTCCCTCTCCAGCAAAAGGTAAAAACTACTTGAACAAGCTCTTTTGGTCTAAATATCTCATTTATAGCTAACTTCGCGCGGATCAGGCTGGTAATATTAGTTTTGAGGATGTGCACCGAGCCTGAGGCAGGCCAACCTTGAGCGGCTCTTGTGACTCTTTGTTAGCTAGATTTTTATGTATTTATTTCTGTACGTCTTTAGGTATCGCCTGTTTCGTATATCGCACGAGTGTAATAAATCGCCCCGCTGCAACATTTGTGAATTAACATGACCTCTGATGACCTCTGATTGCTACCTTGTGTGAACTCTTGTAATACGACTTATCCTGCCTCATAGAAGGCCACGCCAATCGGCAAAAAAACATTTAAACAGCCCAAAACAAACTGCATGCATGGGCAAACAATGACCATGTACCCATTCACTTATAACAGCATAAACCATTGAACTGATCTGACTTTATAAGGTGTTGTAACCTAAAATACGCTTAAGTGAGTACCTATCAAGCAACGCAAGTTTAGGCATCTACCTTGTGCGGCTCAGCAAAGAAATTCCGAAACTCTGAGGGGTCACCTGCGATCAGATCAGATCAGATCACCAGGTGATACCCCTCCGGAACTCTGAGAGGTATCGCCTGTGTGTTGAAGTTATCGGTCGCCTGTCGTTACCACCTGCTGTTGTTTTAAACGAAGACCGAACAATGTGACATTAGTGGTCGTTAGAATAAGATCGTAGTCGTATCTGTGTTAGGTCATTTCCCTGAGCAGACTCAAACAAATACAATACGTACCCGTGTAAGGGACGAACACCCTGTTGGTTGTCAGCCTAGTGGTAGTGCTTGTTCCTGTGGAAGCCAAAAAACGCACTGAAAAATATGTACAGGCGCAAGCTCCATAGGCTCAGAAAACAGAAGATCTGAAATAAGTAAAAGAAGGCAACAGGTCACGGCAAGGTTTGCAAGGTTCCTTTTACAGATATGTGACCTTTCATATTGATGTAGCCACGGATGTGGAGCGAGCGACATCGTCATTCAGGGGTTCACAACTTACATTTGATGTAGCCACGGACGTCGAGCGAGCGACATCGCCATTCAGGGGTTCACAACTTACTTTTCCAGGAGGTTGCCTTGTGACCCTCGCGTGTGCTCGTAACGGGTTGTGTGCTCGTAACCGGGTTTTCTGGAACATGGAAATGAGGCGTATCTTGTCCCCACGGCACTGTTCCGTCCGTCAAAAGAGCTGTGTGCAGAGGCTGCTCAGAACGGGGAGGAGCGTAAATGTCGAATCGCTTATCTAAAAGATGGGCGATGCGCTGAAGGGACGGACATGGCAGACCTTTCGGTGAAGTAGCTATTCGTGGACACTTTGTGTTGCATGAGTTATAGAAGTTAGAAGTAACTTGTAGCGAGAAGGCTTTCATTAAGCAGACTTAGTAAGCAGCAATCTGATATACAATTTTGGCCGTTGAATGTTTGTTTATGTCTGTTTGTGTATGTTTCAACTATGTTTGTTATGTTTATGTTTCAATGTTTGTTTCATTCAATGTCCCTATGTTTCAACAGCCTCGCCATCAGTAGCAGAAGCTTAGCTGCCACTCTGTACGGTACGAGAGCGTGCACAAACTTTTTAATGCCGCATTTACAAGAAATATACGACAAAATATTTCCTACCGGTTGTAGACGAGGTAGAGTCAGTCTGTTCTCTTCCGATTCCAAAGACCAGGAAATGCTGTTTGGCACTGAGGATCTCTGAAACAAATTGGTTTATACGTTTAACGGATACCTTCTCGGTATCGCACGCGCGCTTTTATGACGTTTCTATAGCGGTGTATAATACCCGCACGATAAATCACTAAGTATGCGGGCAATCGTTATCTTCATAAAACGCGAAATGGTGCATTACACTGCCTCACAGTGTCCTAAAAAGACAACGAAAATTGCTTCAAGGGCTGAGAAGGTGGCCGCTGGTGGAAAGTCAGTGCAATGCATTCATACCGTGGCGCAAATAATCTGGGCCGAAAGCCAAGCTGCCCCTTTGGTGAACTACATGCAGATTACTTCATATACGAACGCCATCATCGCCTCAGCCGACCCAATGGCTGTGGCGATGCATTCATTCACGATGTGCAACTGATTGCAGCGATTGCTGTTTGAATCCAATCCACCGGGTTTGGCATGGTGATCTTTTACTCACCCCAAAGGAGGACAGCTGTCACTACAATCACCAAGAAGTTGAAGATCCATAGGATGCAGCACATGCAGCACCTCCTTCTTCTTTGTAATCGTTCATTGCTGACGGGCGAAGGAGAGGGCATGACCATTACTGATAACATAATGCCACGAGGCGACCTTCGTGCAAACTTTGTTTTCGGCGTCGTTGTGTGCGTTGTGTGAAGATTTCTGGCAAATGTCACTTTTTCTGGCCATTTGCTCGATCTGTTCACCCATGTAAAATCAAGTGGAAAGTGCTGACTGAAGTTGTAGATATGCCCTGTGATACAATTAATGTTCACGGCGTTGCTGGCACTAGTTAGAAGGCTGCATAACATCCGGTGGCAGCTCATACGTTAGTAAAGTGGTCAGCAAGACGAAAAATATGGTGTATATCTTCTGGTGGTATCATCTCCATTGGTGTAAATATCTGACATACTCGACAAGGGCGGCGCTCCAGTCAACTTCAGAGTTGTTGGCCGTCCAGCCTAGCTTCAGTCGACCGTTACCTGGCTCCTGGGCACCCGAAGGAAGCAAACATCAGGAGCGTCAGCAGGTGGGGTGATCAGCTCATGCGAACCCAGGCTCGGGAGGTAAGGCATGCGGTGGATACGGGTGCCAGTTTACAAAGCCTGTCATTTTCAAAACATCGCGTTGTTTTGAAACAATCGCCGCTGCTGCAAAGTGCTGGATACTGAACTAAATTGGGTTTGGACGCTGGCTGGGCCGTGTCGCAACTATTTTTCATCAAGAAAACACGCTAGCGATATGCTGAGATCATCACACACCGAGTTCAATTGCATTTTTACCACGAAGCTTAAGCGGAGTGGTGGCCCATGACAATGCTCTGTTATAAGTTCCAACAGACGCAAAGACGACAACCCTGTGCGCCTGTGTAGGCTGATACGTGCGCCTACGCGCCCGTGCGTCATTGATGGTGCATACCTCGGCCATCTCTAAGCTCCTCAACGAGCTCTGGGGTGCGGTGTACAATACATTGGTGTGTTGTGGCATTGTCAGCGTGGTTGTGGAGCCGCTTCAGCTGCAAAAAGCGAAAACACTCGGTCAAACCAGCTATGTGATTTTGTTTCGGACAGCGCTTGATTACGATGTTTTCTTTGCATTATAAAAATAATTGACCGAGCTGTGTATAGATTATCTTACAGGAAACAATTTGGGATCAAAGGTGCACCAAAGACGAAGGAAGCTGCGGAAAAACAAAAGCGGAAGGTAAGATGAAAACCTCATGCTCCAAACGCAAACAAAAATGACAAATGTGTCATGACCATATTTTCGGTATCAGAGATCATCGATATAAGACCAAAATAGAACCTACAATCTATTCGTCGTGATACGCGATTATGATGCTATGCGATGCAATGGCTCCACCGGCCTTGTACACAAAATAATGCGGGGGAAGTGAGGCAACGCACCCCGTCGAGGTAATGTATCCCGCACCCCATGTCCAAACAGATTGCCAGATGATTTGAACCTGTGCTGTGACGACTGCGTCGTTTGTGTTGGTACCTGGTGTCGATGGCGGACAAGAAGCAGAGAACGGTTTTTGCGCCAGATGGAGCTATTTTCAGTTAAGCTGAGCAGTATTTTTGCACTTTACCTACAAGCTTTATTTTCCAGATATGTCCGCTGGTAAACAAAACGGGGATTTGCTGGCATTGGCTTGGAAAGGATATAATCGATGCGCCTAGAATCTAAATAGTCTAGATATGGGGTACGGGGTGCATTACCTCGACGGGGTGCGTTGCCCCGCTCTCCTTGCATTATTTTGTGTATGAGGCCAATGGGGCTATTGCATCGCATTGCATCATAATCGCGTGTCACGACGAAAAGTCAGATTGCAGGCCCTATTTTGGGCTTATATCGATTATGCGCCCCGTTAACAAGGGGCCAGGCGTCCCGGGATTGCTTTGCCCGGTGAAAAGACCAGGCCTGCTAGACCAGAAATTATCACTCCTTAGCTTTATTACGTAGTTCCGCACCAGCGTAAGAATGGTTTGGGCATGCAGTTCTTGGTCTGATGATGTCCCCGAGAGCCACAAGGCTTACACCGTAGTCATGGTGTTATAGCTGATGTTGAATGCTACTAAAAGGAAGCTACTTACAGTGATGGTGGGGTGCGTACGATTTATATCTGGAGAGACCAAGTTGGATTTAGACGGTCGTTGGGAGATAAGGGAGTCCATGCACAGAACACAGAGCTGTTTTCAGCCCGCAGAAAGCTGACTCGATAATTCACCCCGAAACCTAATGTATGCCCGTACGTCGTCCTTTTTATTTTGCATTCTTGGATTTGGGCTGGTTTTGGAAGGTGACCTGACCCTGCCTCTGGCTCATAGGTGTCGCTTAAGTTTTATGATTTGGGGCACGCCGGCTGCCGGCAGCTTGCTGCTTGCTCTTGATGTTTGCTCGGATTTGAGCCCTTTGATATCGCGCTCAGCGAAAAATGTAAGACAAATTTAGAAAACCTTCGAATAGCTTGTTCCGAGTAAAAGTTTACCGCCTTCCACAATCCGTTTCATTTATCTTGCGACGCCAAAAAAAATCCGATCCGCATCACTCTCAGGGGTCCCATTTTGGCGTTTAGGAGTAAGGCTGGGCTGCTCCGTTACCCTTTCCTCGTCCCGAAAGCAATGCCCTGGTTACTGCTAGTAAGGGCAATTTGTCGACAGCACTTTTTAATAGAGAAACTCAAAATGCTGTGGCAAAAAACTGGTTTGTCTCCAACCGCGGCAAGCGAGTGGCGCTGCTCAAGATGGGCGACATTTTTGGCGCCACCTCAAACCGCGCGGCTGTCGCAGAAACCAGTCACGACGACTCCATAGTCAGCAGTGACCGAGGAGTTATAACCGGACCCGATATCGGGCAATGCCGGTGGCAGCGAGCTGCGGAGTGCTACAGAGGGCGCGGCAGAGGATGGTGCAAAGTCGGGACCGACTCCAGCCGCGCGGACAGTGGGGTCAGGAACAACATCCAGTTCAAACACACACACACACACACACACACACACACACACACACACACACACACACACACACACACACACACACACACACACACACACACACACACACACACACACACACACACACACACACACACACACACACACACACACACACACACACACACACACACACACACACACACACACACACACACACACACACACACACACACACACACACACACACACACACACACACACACACACACACAGACGAGTCTGTGGCCGGTCCTAGCGGTATTCAGAATCGTTCAGTCTTTCCCCGTTGCTCAGAACACCAAACCGCAACCGCACACGGCTACAGGAGAAATGGGCTGGGGTATGCTCTCCACCATGCAAACAGCCACTGCAGAGGGAAAGGCCCCGGCGAAAAGGCAGGGACGGGGAGAGAAATAGAAACGGTGCAGGAGAGAGCAGATTGGGGGCGTGGTGACGCAGAGGTGACGGAGAAACAAGACGACCTAGACCGCCAGGTGCTTCGTCTACTGTATTCAGTACCGCCTGTCTTGTCAGTCCTGGATTCAGTGCACGAAGTGCTCAAAATGGTCATGTGAACCGTGCACGGATGCTAGCAAAGGGCAAATATATTAGGTGTGTGGCTTCTGCCGGGAGTAAATGGAAGGCTGAACTGCCACGTGTGAGTACGGTTTTGTCAAAGTTTCGTTTTTTTTTTTTTGCTATGAAGTGTCAGTTTTGGTGCCCTGTGACCAGTGACGACTCGAGTGACATTTTGAAGCTTGTTGGAGATGTGACTTCAGGTACGTTTTGAGCTTTACGCTCTTAAGCTGAGCGTGTGAAACGCTGCGAAATAGATTACTCGAGCAGAAGGATGCATCACAGGCCTTTGCGGCGTGTTAGGTGGACATGATCAGACAACAGAGAACGGCCCGTGAACGAGAAAATTTTTCACCAGTGTGTATCATACGCTCATTGATTATATTGCACGCATGCATTAAACACATAATTCGTGGACTGGAAACGCTTCATTGGACGCTCTTCACTCATGTCTGTTTGTCCCAGAAGCTCCGCAGATATGGCCTCTTCTTTTTTATGGCATGGAGGCGTAACAAAATGCGTACATAAACATTTTAACAGGCGCTTTAATGGCTCGCGTCTTAAGGTTGTTACCTTGTGCGTTACGCGAAAAAAAATGAACCCTACAAGTGCCAAAATGAAACTTTCACAGGGGACAAGTTTTGCCTCAGTGCAGGGCGTGGTTTGCTCCGAGCTGGGGCAAAGGTTTCCTTTTTACGCCCTCGCTGAATTTAACAATTTTAGGCCCCAAAACGCCATCAATGCCTGCACGCTTTAGTGTTCAATGCAATAAAATACATTGACCCTGTCACTGACATCTAAGCTGGTCGGATTACGCGCCTCATTCCGAAGATTTAACCTTAAACGAAACTAGGGCTGTTTGGCACCACTCTACCACACGTTGATAGACCTCAGTGATCTGATTGGCACATAAGCACGCTCTCCATATGAAAGTGTTTTGCTATTATCGCTGTGCATATGTCACACACTTCTGGGGACATGCAACTTAACTATGTCATAAAACAACGACAGGACCTGTGCTCTAACATCATGCCATGTCATGGATTAAGTGATCCATTTCCACTGACCGTCCGTAGTCACATTGGTAGACTCTTGCGATTCCTCCGTGATGTCCCAGGAACCAGGAGAAGTTGTTTATATGCTGAAATTTGGCTTCCCAACCGTTCAGAGTCTGTTGATATCAGATGCATTTAAGTTATAACAGTTGTCAGTTTCAAACGTATCGCCATTATTTGTCACAAAAATTTCGTCTAGAACAGTGATAACGTTAGGTCGCTCTTCTCATCGTACGTGCTGATTGAAAAATAGAATAAAAATACGGCGCGTGTTTTAGAGCATAGTTTTTAGCCCACTTCTTTGACGCAGGCAGTTGCTTTACAGACTAGCAAACAACGCCATTCGGCCACGATTTTCCGCAAAATGGTTGAAGTAACTTGATTTTGCCATGTCAGTTTTTACTGATTCTACTGAAGGTTGGCGGAAAATTTTCAAACTACTACGCGTCTTTTTTCCTTCCAAATAACGTTTGTGAAGGCAATGCCACCTTCTGCAACTGAGCTGGCAAACAAAATCAAATCGCACATATGCGTATTTCAAACGGATGTCTCTGACAGCTCACGTTCAGAAGCCTTTGATGATTCATCATCACTATTTAGCTCTTATACGTCCAAAACGAAGACAAGCATCGGAGATGCGAAAATGTCGTCATTCACCGAGGATATCTCAAGCCCAAATAGACATCAGCAGAAACAGCTGGAAGCTGAAAACCAGGTGAAACATGAAACACCCATTTGTAAATCTCTTATGAGTAGATCAGCGGTCTCTGAGTCATCTTTTCCGTCGGCAACAAACACGACACCCTTTTCTGTGTCATCAACAGAAGCTTCACTGGTAAGTCGAGACACCAGTGGTACTACGGAGACCAGTAGCAAGTGGCTGAGGTACACAGTGATGGGTCTGCTTTGCCCATGCGTGACAGCAGGCGAATTTCCTATCGCCTCTCTGGCTCGAAGAGTAGTCGTCAAGAAGAAAATGTAGAGAATTTCTAAGTCCGTTCGCATTGTGCACGAACGATTATAAAGACTGCCTTTTTAATCCTCGTCGTTTTGTCACTGTTTGTATTCAGTAAAGAACTTGTGCTCTTGTGATCTATGACCAGCGCACAAACCAGAGTATATTTGTATATGTGTGCCAATTTGTCTTCATGGCTTCATGCGCTGGATGCAGTATGCTCAAGAAGAAAAATTGTCATCTGTGCTTGATGGTGCTATTCTGAGCCACACTTCAGTATAAGTGTACGCATTTAATATATGACGAATCGCTTGGCGCTGGCTCTAACATTCGTGTATACATAATATCCACACGTTTTGCTTGCATAAATGTAGTTAGGTGAGGTAAATGAAATGAATTTTCAGGGCCCTCGGTTAAATAATCGAATCCGAGTTCACTCAGAGCTTTGTAAATTTAACATTGGCTGAATTCGGAAAGTGCGATTCGCGGGAAGAGGCTCGCTAAACATGTACCATTGACGCATTTTCATTCATGCCAAAGTCCGTTGCGTTCATGGCTTGAAACGTCATACGAAAATGATTGATCGCGACACCTGGCAGTGGACTGAGCCTACCATTGCCGCGAAACCCGCGTCCGGTCCTGCACATTACCCAATCATTTAGCGTGCCACATCACGACAACCAGCGTGAGTGTTGTGCACCAGTTGTCGCAGCGCGGCTACGCGTCCCCCTAGGTCTCAGCGGGCTGCTATGAGTATTGTCACCGTTCTGCAGACGTTTTCTGTGTAGCGACACTGTGAAAGGTGATTGATGGAAGGCCTTCCTCATCCAGGGCACCACATAACGCTCGGCGGAAAACCGCTCGTGTCTAGTAAAAACAGCGGCTTTTTTATATAAAAATTCATTCAGCAAACAAGTCATCACACATAATACGGCATTGCATTGAGCGACAAAGACGATCTCACATGACCTCACAAAGATAATACGTCTAAAAACCATTAACAAACAAAGAAAGTGTATGATGAAAATACTGGACACATGGACATAACACGAGAGGCTCGGTTCACAAGGACGGAGCATGTACTGCAGCTCGCTCACTATTGCCAGCAGCATGGGTGAATATTCATCCTCAGAACGATATCAATCCGGCAGCCTACGACACGGCCAACTGCGGCAGTTATCGGACCAATCGCCCCAGTTTATATCGCTCGCTGGCTAAAAAAACGCGGTAATTTATCACAAGTTCATGTTCTTCAGAATAGCCTCCAGCATCGTGCAGCAGTTGCTGTCGCCGTCATTGCCATGCACATGCTCTAGCTCGGGTCCTACCCCAGACAACGGAATGTTGTGCCTTGGCTCTAAACAAAGCGTGGCCGTCCTTAGCGTCTTGCTTCAGTAGCGTTGCTTCACAAGCTAGACCTTTTCATCGCTAGATTTATGCAATGTGCCGTATATCTCCTCTTGGAACCGGTCCAGGTCCACATAGCCCTGGTTCTGATCCTCCAGCAGCACCTGTAAGTGAAGAGTCCAGTCAGGTCACCCAGTTGTAATGAAGGCGGCAGAGACACCGGACACCAGAAGAATGTGGGGGTTTACCAACGCTGATTTGGAAGCGTCGTGATCGAAGTAAAATGGAACCATCAGCCTAGATCCGCAAAAAAGCCGCCACATTCCCGTTCCAGAAAGTGCATTTTTTCGTACTGGTTGAGATCTGTTCAAATGTATACAGTGGTATCCATTATGCTGTGACACGTTTTCTGCCTTGATAGCAGCGACGTTCTGATAAAATGCATCCAATATCTGCTCTTTAAGCTTGTATGGAACAGATACGGCAAAAATCGCAGGCACACCACACATAATTCTCAACACAGGCCGAAAAGCAGAGTGGTGTCAAAGACACACAAGACGCAAATGTGTCCATAGAAAAACACTGGCCAAAAGTATATTGAATCAGGCAGGTAATCTCACTACCTGCTTTCAACGAATCACGACTGCAATGTTTTACTCAAACGGTCATTGGAGGAACTTCAGTTTTCCACCGGTTCTTCAACTTTTCATCGTGCACAAAGCGCAACACAACTCAGTTCTCGTCAAAAGTTGGGTGGGCGCTAGGCAGTGACACGAGTGCATTTATCTATCGTTTTGCAACGGAATGATAGACCTGATACCCTCCAGTTCCAGTTACCCTCTACAATTCCAGTTACCCTCTCCACCCATTGGTGTAGTCAGAGACTCTCCCCCTCCCTGGATCGCACAATCGGCTGTAGTCGTGTCTTCCCGGCCAGTGCGTCATCCTCGTGACGCCAGAGCGTCCGTCCCGGATCGCGTGGAGTAGGAGTGTCAAACGCAATCCAAGATGTCACTTGTCACGGACAAGAAGACGAACATTTGCCGCCGCTGTGTCCGGGCAATCTTTAACGGCATTGCGCAGCACGTTATAATTCTCGACCCTATTTCATTAACAGCCTGTGGTTAACTCACCCTTTTCTAACTATTCTGCTCACCATTCTACCGAACACCACCCCTCACCAGTGACCGTCTTCCCATGCCCATCTTCCTCAAGGTTGAATGGGCGTTTACTCTCTGTTTTAGAGGAGCGTAGATAAGCGAACATTGACAGCAGTCTATTTCTGACTGTAACGCAGCTGCTCCCTTACACATCCGCTCCCGTACCTTCTTTTCCTTACGCATCTCCACCCCGCCGTCACCCCATCCTCTCGGGCAGCACCCCTCCGAACGTCGCTCTCCCCTCAGCTGGCGTACCCATCCGAATGTTCCTTTCCCCTCCGCTGGCACACCCCTGCGAACGTCGCTCTCCCCTCCGCTGGCACACCCAACCGAATGTTCCTCTCCCCTTCGCTGGCACACCCCTCCGAACGTCGCTCCCCTCCGCTGGCCTGACCTCCAGGTCGTTGCGGAGTTCGGCGAAACTGGGCCGCCAGCTGGGCTCTGCAGCCCAGCAGCTGGCGGCCAGCTGGTACAGCTGCGGGTGACAGTGGTCGGGCCGCTCCAGCCGGTAGCCCTCTCGCACCGAGCGCATCACCTCCCGCGCTGAGAGGCCCGGGTACGGCGTCGAACCTGAGATGGAGGCGGGGCGTCAGATGGAGCCCACGACACACGAAGGGGTGGCGTGACACGGAACTGGACATCAGACGGAGCCCACGACACACGAAGGGGTGGCGTGACACGGAACTGGGCATCAGACGGAGCCCACGACACACGAAGGGGTGGCGTAACACGGAACTGGACATCAAACGGAGCCCACAACACACGAAGGGGTGGCGTGACGCGGAACTGGATATCAGACGGAGCCCACGACACACGAAGGGGTGGCGTGACACGGAACTGAACATCAGACGGAGCCCACGACACACGAAAGGGTGGCGGGACGCGGAACTGGACATCAGACGGAGCCCACGCCACACGAAGGGGTAGCGTGGCACGGAACTGGACATCAGACGGAGCCCACGACACACGGAGGGGTGGCATGACGCGGAACTGGACATCAGACGGAGCCCACGACACACGAAGAGGTGGCATGACGCGGAACTGGACATCAGACGGAGCCCACGACACACGAAGAGGTGGCACGACGCGGAACTGGACATCAGACGGAGCCAACGACAAACGAAAGGGTGGCATGACGCGGAACTGGACATCAGACGGAGCCAACGACACACGAAGGGGTGGCATGACGCGAAACTGGACATCAGACGGAGCCCACGGCACACGGAGTGGTACCGTGACATGGAACCACGCGTGACCTGACCTCCAGACAGAGCGACGTGAATGTGAATCTATAATGAACATGCAGTACAACTCTGGAAACTTACTGCATCGATGAGATTGTTGTCATCATATATATATATATATATATATATATATATATATATATATATATATATGTATATATGTACGGTAAAGTAAAAGCTGTACATGATGCACTGTATAGTGTATTATGCACTGAATACATTGGAAAAGGAAAATATGAAACAGGAACTAGCTGTCAGACCGCATATCCATCAAGGTGTCGTCGCTCTGCGGTCATTGAACCTCACCGTTAAACTGAGCACTGTACGCCACAGCTGGTGGACGGGGGGTGCATTGTTCGCTAGACCCCGATATGATGTAGTACTCGCAACAATGCGAGAGGGGCGGGGGGGGGGCAAGGCTGAGCAGAGCTTGGAGAATGGGCACGATCCGTGTTAGACTAAGGTTTTGCTTGTGCTAGCCTAAGCTTTAAGCGGCTTCGTTCACTAAGGCTTCCATGAGTACGCGCCCGATGGCCTTGTGTTACATATGTAAACGTTCATAGAGGTGCTTGTGCGATGAGGCTCTTTGTGACACTTTGTTCAAATGGAGAGTGCATAAACACTCTCCAATGTGGTATGGTCAAATGGAGAGTGTATAAACACTCTCCAATGTGGTATGGTCAAATGGAGAGTGTATAAACACTCTCCAATGTGGTATGGTCAAATGGAGAGTGTATAAACACTCTCCAATGTGGTATGGTCAAATGGAGAGTGTATAAACACTCTCCAATGTGGTATGGTCAAATGGAGAGTGTATAAACACTCTCCAATGTGGTATGGTCAAATGGAGAGTGTATAAACACTCTCCAATGTGGTATGGTCAAATGGAGAGTGTATAAGCACTCTCCAATGTGGTATGGTCAAATGGAGAGTGTATAAACACTCTCCAATGTGGTACGGTCAAATGGAGAGTGTATAAACACTCTCCAATGTGGTATGGTCAAATGGAGAGTGTATAAACACTCTCCAGTGTGGTATGGTCAAATGGAGAGTGTATAAACACTCTCCAATGTGGTATGGTCAAATGGAGAGTGTATAAACACTCTCCAGTGTGGTATGGTCAAATGGAGAGTGTATAAACACTCTCCAATGTGGTATGGTCAAATGGAGAGTGTACAAACACTCTCCAATGTGGTATGGTCAGACGGAGAGTGTATTATCAGTGGCTCTGACAGGGCCTCAGGGGACCACACCACCACATTCGTTATTGCGCACTCTCGTTCGATGCCTTAACACACTTGGAACTATTCTAATAACGAGTGTGACCGAGCCTAGCCGGTATACGATTGTGAGCGAGTCAGGCGATCACAAACGCGAATTGGACGACCCAGTCAAACGCTCATCACTTGAACCACGCACCCAGTGTGATGATCTCCCAGAGAAGGATGCCGAAGCTCCAACAGTCAGTCTTCTGGTTGAAGGTGTTGTGGTAGAGTGACTCGGGCGACATCCAACGTATCGGCAGAGCACCCTGGTGGAAGCACCGCAAAACTCTAGTTACACGGTAGCCCATAGAGGGCGGCTCAGACTCATGTGAGCCCAACGGCAAGCACGCCTACAGCTGGCCTCACACAACAATGGTGTTTGGAAGAACGACCGAACTCAAGTGAACGCTACTATTCATGTCAGTGAAGAAGACGCAAGCATGTCTGGTCCTTAATCAGCGCAACACGCAATGTGATGTTTATTACTTTTTTTGGTGAAATCGTGACTCATAACAGGAAATCTCCAAACAAAGATCTCGCGTAGTTCATGGGGACTGGATCGTTTTTCGTAATCAACCTTCCCACAGAGGATCAGCCCCCTACATTGGAAGTCTGAGTTAAATGAGCTTGACCGCGCTGCAGTGACGATAGTCACAGCAGCAGCGCGCGACGATCAGTGAGCGCGCGCGCCCTGCAACCCTGCGCGGACGCGGCGCTGCACGTTCCGAGCCGCCATTAACGCTGCAGCCTCACCCGGTGCTTCTGCTCGAACACCTCCGAACTGATCTCCTGCTGGCTCCTGGACATGCCGAAGTCGGACACCTTGCACACCTTGTTGTGGTCCACCAGGATGTTGCGAGCGGCCAGGTCACGGTGCACAATCTGAGGTCAGCGAGTGTAGCTCGGTGTCATCCGATGATGCTGAACGGGGCATCAAGTGACAAAACGGGGGAAATGTCCTATGTGAAAGTGGCGGAGAACTCCGAGGCATTCTGGCAACAAAAATTAAATTTGGGGCGCGACATGTATTTACTTCTTTTGGCGTTGTTTGTTTCACTTCGTATTGACCCAAATCTACCATACATGTTCATAAAAGAATATGAACATCTGTCTCAATTTATATGTTGTGCCATCACAAAGCTGGCAAACAGTGTCAGAGTGTGTCTGCTCGAGGATCTTGATTGTCGCGATAAACATCTCGTGACAGTGAAGGATATTCTTACACTTTAAACAAATTATTATGGTAGTACCCTCCATATATGAGCCGTAATCACTTGAATCAACACCTGCAAGTCGCAAAAGGCCTCCAATGTAAGGTATGTGGGCATTACCTAAATATAGCTAAGCGGTTGCATCGTCGATTTTTCTCAAGACATGTCGATATTTGCTCCAAAAAATCGCATAACCAGGACCTTGTGGAATATTAAAGGTGAGTTACTTTCAACAGAATGACTAATAGTGGTTATGCAACATGACCACTATTAGGAACACTTATACAGACTCGAGAGCGTTCATCCCGCCTGTCTTCCACTCCGCCACTGGCGGCCCAGCGCTAGCGCAGGCGGCGCGCGCCGGCGCCGGACACGCACCCCCTGCGCGGCGATGTACTCCATGCCGGCGGCCGCCTGGCACGCGAACAGGGTCAGGTCGCGGGAGGTCAGCACAGCCGAGTCGTGCGAGAAGTTGAAGTAGTTGTGGCGGCCGCGGTTCTCACGCAGGTACGTCAGCAGCTTGCCGAACACCACGTACTCCATCACGACCAGCACCGGGTCTGAAGTGGCAGAGAGGTGGCGTCAGTATCCCCATGAACTCTGTGCTCCGTGCGCTCTCTTCTGTGCCTTGGGCGTGACACCTTACCCTGTGCGCACGCACGCACGCACGCACGTGTGCGTGCGTGTAAAATAATTGCTTTGAGCGATTACGCATATAACCATACTCAGTGCGCTCAAGACACGAGCGGACGCCTAATCAACGTTCCTAATCATGTCATACGCATTCGTGTTCCCCATTGGGCTTCTAGGTGGGAGGCCGCACGACGCCCAGGTCTGTCGCTCCCGATCCCTCACCCCCCGCCGCCATCGCTACTGATCGCTCATCCCCGCCGCCATCGCTGCTGATCGCTCATCCCCGCCGCCATCGCTGCCGATCCCTCACCCCCCGCCGCCATCGCTGCCGATCCCTCACCCCCCGCCGCCATCGCTGCAGATCCCTCACCCCCGCCGCCATCGCTGCTGATCGCTCATCCCCGCCGCCATCTCTGCTGATCGCTCATCCCCGCCGCCATCGCTGCTGATCCCTCACCCCCGCCGCCACCGCTGCTGATTCCTCACCCCCGCCGCCATCGCTACTGATCGCTCATCCCCGCCGCCATCGCTGCTGATCCCTCATCCCCGCCGCCATCGCTGCTGATCCCTCATTCCCTGCCGCCATCGCTGCCTATCCCTCACCCCCGCCGCCATCGCTGCCGATCCCTCGCCCCCGCCGCCATCGCTGCTGATCGCTCACGAAACCACAGAAAGCAGAGCTCGGATACACGCCGCGGGTACCAAACAGATCGGCGCGAGCCCTCCACTGTGAAATGTGTCGTAGAGAGAACCGGTCAACTTAGGTCACTGCGTACACTGTTAGCAATAGCGGTCGTGGCTGCTAGCCTTGGCTCACATGGGTCATTAGTAACCAGTGTCCCCATAACATTGCACTTTGTTTTTCGTTGTCCATGGGGCAACGAGGCAATCAGTATCACTAATGAGTCCGCAACAGACATTGCTGACTCGAATGATGAGCCTAAACCGAGCGTTCTGACCGAGAGACTTTGACAAGCATGCCGAGAACTGACGGGTCGCTGATGAGATTGGGCATTGTCCGCCTTTCTGGACGCCCTGAGAGGCATCCAGACACTTCCCAGGATGCCACCAAGGTCGACAGAACAATGTTTGAAAGTGACATAGATGGCTGAATGGAAGGCGAATGAGCTCGACAGCAAGGTCTTGGCGCAGGGGGCCATCTAAGTACGCTCATTGAGCTGCAGGAACTGGGCTTATCCAGTATGTGTCACAGCTTTGTGTTCCTGGAGCGGGCAAAACGTATGATTTCAAGAAGCACGTTCCCACCCACAAGAAATCCCAAATCACTGGAACATTACACTTCGTGCCTTCTCTCCGGCCCAAACTATGGGCTCTGTATAAATCTCTGTATAAACCACCTAGGCTGGGTATATGTGACCTGATTTAAAGGATTCAGCAACTCAGTGCACCGCATGATAGCTGCCATTGCGTGAAACCAATTGATTTTCATCCGGGCTTGTTGGATTCATGGTATGGCTTTTTTGCGTAATATCCTGAGGAATTTAATTCAAGGGATCCAACAGGCTAGGCTCTGGAGCTCAGTGGATCCAACAGACTAAGCTCTGGAGTTCAGTGGATCCAACAGACTAGGCTCTGGAGTTCAGTGGATCCAACAGGCTAGGCCCTGGAGTTCAGTGGATCCGACAGACTAGGCTCTGGAGTTCAGTGGATCCAACAGACTAGGCTCTGGAGTTCAGTGGATCCAACAGGCTAGGCTCTGGAGTTCAGTGGATCCAACAGGTTAGGCTCTGGAGTTCAGTGGATCCAACAGGTTAGGCTCTGGAGTTCAGTGGATCCAACAGGCTAGACTCTGGAGTTCAGTGGATCCAACAGACTAGGCTCTGGAGTGCAGTGGATCCAACAGACTAGGCTCTGGAGTTAAGTGGCTTACAACATGCGTATAGTTATGCACCCCAAATACAATCAGGTATATCACGGCAATCTGTCCCAGGTGGTAATGATGGACTGTTCGGGATCCGCATTCCACGCACGCACGCACGCACGCACGCACGCACGCACGCGCGCACGCACGTACGCACTCAAGCACGCACGCACACACTCACGCACGCATGCACGCACACACAAAGTAGCTTTTTGCAGCTGCACGCGCAGTAGATCAATGAACTCATTACCTTCCTCTGTGCAGCAGCCGAGCAGTGTGACGACGTTCGGGTGGCTGCCCAGGTTCTGCATGATTCGCAACTCGCGGAGTAGGTCCTGTCGACCCCAGATCAGCCTCAGGTCAGCCCCAGGTCAGCTCCAGATCATCCTCGGATCAGCCACAGGTCAGCTCCAGACCAGTCCCAGACCAGCTCCAGACCAGCCCCAGACCAGCTCCAGATCAGCCCCAAGATCAATCCCAAAACGGTCCCAGGTCAACCCCAGGTCAGCCCCAAATTAGCCCCAGATCAGCCCCAGATCAGCCCCAGACCAGCCCAAGATCAGCCCTAGGTCAGCTCCAGATCGTCCCCAGATCAGCCCCAGATCAGCCCCAGATCGTCCCCAGATCAGCCCCAGACCGGCTCCAGATCAGCCCCAGATCAGCGCCAGGTCATCCCACGGCTGGCGAGAACACGCCAACACCAGAGGCGACCCAGCCGCAATCGGAGGGCTTCAGTTTCTCCCGCGGGCGTTTTGAAGTTGAAAGCGGCAGGGGTCAAATGCACAGCCATGACATAAAACATACACTTTATCTGAGAGAAAAAAGAGCTTAATGCTGCGTGTGCAGAGGTTACTGCTGCGTGTGCGTTGCGTTTCAATAAACTACCAATGCGATAAAATGACAAATAGCATGACATGGCTGCAGCCGTTATAGACCGCGATGCTGCGTAACATTACCTGCTTATCTTTGGCAGAAGCGCTGTCTTTGACGTTCTTAACAGCGACCAGGAGCGTGCCTTCGTGACCACGCACACCGTCCGCCTCCGCCCTCCAAACCTGAAGCAATAAGTCACGTGACCGCCTGCCCCTGTCCACCCAATCCGGGGCAACCGCTTGGATCATCTTACTGGAGAAGCCAGGCTGGGAAGGGAAGTCACGTGATTGTTAGCTTCGGTTATGGAAAGCTGCCAAGGGATTCATGAGATGAGCATCTTCGTCAAAGGTACCACTTTCCCCACTTTTGGGGAGATGAGCAGGCGCATTTCAAATGGTCGCAATGCATAACGTTAGCCTTATAGTTCAGAAATATCACACTCCCAAAAACTGCGGCTGTCATTCTCCGCGTCCTCCGAAATGATTGCAATGCATCGACATCTGACCTAACTGGATGGCATGAACGCGAAAGACAAACTGATGCTTCAGACAGTGTAGCATTGTTCTCTGGAAAACATGACGCAAGTGACGTAAGCAGAGTAACGTGGTGACATGCTCTTTCTGCCTGTTAGCCGTGGAACAACCGTCACTGATTCGTTCACCTCCAGACCTAGAGAAATAATCACATGATAAATCCAATCTGAAGACTTTTTAAGTTAAATCCCATAGAAAATCTGAATGAACTGGCAAGAATGTATCTACAATAATGGCATGCAGTGATCAATGATCTCGATCGGAAAAAAGATACATTCACTATAGGAGATGAGTGGTTGGTCAGACCTCCGCGATACCAATCACGGAGACATCGAGATACCACGTAACGCCTGAGTGCACGGGCAGCGGAAACATCTATAACAGTACATTCACAACACGCACTTCAGCGTCATGCTCCGGCCTCTGGGCAAACACTTCATGGAGATATAAGCAGCGGACCAGCACCCCACACAAGACCAAAACACCAGCACCTCGCACAGGACCAAAACACCAGCACCCCGCACAGGACCAAAATACCAGCACCCTGCACAGGACAAAAAAAAAAAACGCACAAACAAAACACAGTCATGCAAAGGGACGCCGCTTACTGCAGTTCAGGTCAGCAAACTCCTACCCTATTTCTACCAAAGCCGTGAAATAGTCGTGGCTCTCAAAAAAATCCCGTAGGCCAGTGCTACAGAGGCAGAGGGTCCTCGGCCCTGGCGGCACCTCACCTGGCCGAAGTGCCCCTCTCCCAGGACGGCCTGCAGGCGCAGGTGCTGCCGGTCGTGGCGGCATCTCACCTGGCCGAAGTGCCCCTCTCCCAGGACGGCCTGCGACTCCCCGGCCGTAGTGGCACCTCACCTGGCCGAAGTGCCCCTCTCCCAGGACGGCCTGCGACTCCCCGGCCGTAGTGGCACCTCACCTGGCCGAAGTGCCCCTCTCCCAGGACGGCCTGCAGGCGCAGGCGCTGCCGGTCGTGCTCCCACTTTCTGCGCCGCGCCAGCGTGTCCTGGATCTGAGGACGACCGAGAGCGCCGATGTGAACATCCCGCCGGCAGGCCACAGTGACATGCGACAGTGACACCACGGAAGGAAACGAGTCAAGATTCCTCTGAGCTCCCAATCCTAAACAATTCCCTGATTCCTGGGCCCGCGAAGGCATGACCGTGACGTCACAGGGGGGAGAAGGCAGGGGCCGTGACGTCACAGGGCACCGTATTGCCGGTGGACTGCTGTGAAGAAATGGATGAAACATAGTTTTATATTATATATATATATATATATATATATATATATATATATATATATATATATATATATATATATATATGAACATATATTTAAAACATACAAATAAAAGAAACATACATTTTCAGCGCAATACTGAAATGACAGCGTTTATCTAACTTAACAGACATCTTTTTAAACGCTTTTGACTACATCCTCGGAAGCGGTAAATCGCTATCTCGCCTTACGTGATGGTCTTTCTTCCGCTGAGTCATTCTAGCACCCCCATGGAACTATTTTTTGTGCGCAAAACCTTGGTTACGGAGAAACATTTATGGCAGAAAGGCGTAGAGACGCTGCGTGCCTTTGCCGATCAACTCGAAACTCTGCTCTTCCCGTTACTTTCAAGTGCATTCCCGCCCCAGAATGCGCAAAGAATGTTCTGCCTGACGTAGATTAGACAGTGCAGGCCAGCATCAGCCGAGCCGCATAGCGCCAGTGGAGTCTGCATTCTAGGCAAAAGGAACACCTCCAGCTCCTGGTTTTTCAGCATCGAGTTCAAAAGCATTATGTTAACTACCTTGGGGATACACACAGCTCATCCTGAGGATGATCCATCCGACTCTTAAGGACGAGCACAGCTCGAAACATCGAGTACAGGAGAGTAGTTTCCTATTTAGTTTTGAATGGGGCTTCAGCCCCCCCCCCCCCCCCCACACACATTCCACATGGGGTCCAACCCACCAACTTTGAGAGTGAAGCGGGCCAAATACGGGAAGAAACTCGTTTGCTGGCAGTTTTTTAAGGTTCAGCTCCCCTAACTCACTTCACGAAACTACGCCCCTGTTTAAGTACAACCAATATGACCGTTGTTTAGTGTTAAGTCCCTTAAGCAGTGCCTCCTGGTATCTTGAAGGTCGTTGACTCGACGTAACAACGTGGAACTCATAATGAAACTGCATTCTAGTAGGATAAGCATCACCATACGAGTGATACCGAAATACTGGCCGCACGAAACCAGGCTCTCCTCTAGTGCGTTAAGCGTAAGGGCTAGGAGTTTGTCTGATCATCGGTACAGCAGCAAGCTTGCTTCCAAACAGGTTTGTCATTCGCAGTCCCATGATTGTAATCACCCAAGTGCAACGGACAGGAACTCCAGAATGTAAAGGACTCGGCCAATAAGTAATGTGCGCCTATTCAAATTTCTTACAATGGATACAAGTGCCCAATGTCACGCTGACCGAAGGAAGATGAACATCGTCGTCCCAAGGTTCTCACTTGGCACAAGCCGACGCACCCAGCACCTCCACCCACCCAACACCTCCACCCACCCAACACCTCCACCCACCAAATGCCTCCACCCATCCAACACCTCCACCCACCCAATGCCTCCACCCACCCAATGCCTCCACCCACGCTCACGCCGCACTTGACCATCGGGTCTGCGGCCGAACGCCGCAGCTATCTCCACAATCCGCCAGTCACCATCGCAGGTCATCTCCACTCTCACCGCGGCATACCTATGCCGGCCGCGTTCATCGCATTCCCGCCGCACCGCGAAGACATCCCGCCGCGCCCAGCTGTTGCCACCGCCTGCCCACGCCCGGCGACGCCACGCTACGGCGAGCGCCGACTGCGACGTGGTCCCACATGTGCTCTCCTCTCGTGCACCATATGCCACGCACACTCAGAGCAGGCTCATTGCCGATTCAGAGCACCGCCGGCGCGCCGGCCGTAGCGCGTGCTGCCGCGCCGCAGTTCCGTCCTCGGGCCGGCGATGGCGGGGAAACACAGCGCCAGCTGACTGTGCCAGATGGCCGCGGGCGGTCAGGCGAGACTTCTCACTGGGCACCTCCGGCGAGCAGAGTCGGGGCTCTTTACACTGGGCACCTCCGGCGCGCAGAGGCGGAATTCTGTGCACTGGGCACCTCCGGCGCGCAAAGGCGGAATTCTGTACACTGGGCACCTCCGGCGCACGGAGTCGGGATTCCTTCCACCGGGCACCTCCGCCGCGCAGAGACAGAATTCTTTACACTGGGCACCTCCGGCGCGCAGAGGCGGAATTCTGTACACTGGGCACCTCCGGCGCGCAGAGGCGGAATTCTTTACACTGGGCACCTCCGGCGCACGGAGTCGGGATTCCTTCCACCGGGCACCTCCGCCGCGCAGACAGAATTCTTTACACTGGGCACCTCAGGCGCGGAGAGGCGGAATTCTTTGCATTGGGCACCTCCGGCGCACAGAGTCGGGACTTTTCCCCCCGGCTTGGCCCGCTTAACTTTTTCCTGATGTACTTCCTCTCAGACAAGCAGAAGAGTTCCATTCCAAGTTCATTGCAGCCACAAGTGCCGGAGAACCAAGAGAGTGTCAAACCTGATTCTATCGAAACGCTTCGCCAAATTCTGGTAAAGAGGCAGCTGCTAAGACCGCAGCTCTTCACAAATTGACCCCAAGCCAGCATGTCAACTGACGAATCTTAAATGGGAAAGCAACACAGCTTGCTCTAAAAAGCAAAAAAAAAAAAATTGGGACGTCCTAAAAACACGGCACTTCCTATGCGTGGAAAGCTCACCATCGCCACACAGGGTTGTTTTCACACGGCAGTGCATCAACATCAGAGGCACTTTGTAAATCGCCTAACGAGTGACGCCCTTCTTCACCGCCGAGCAACGCACTAATGTGATGCGCCGACCACGTATGTTTATGTGAGTTGTTTTTGTGGGTTGTTTACATAAGCTAATTTCAAGGACGCTGAGATATAATCGGCGTAGCCAGGAGGAGCGAGCGTCACAACACGGACTACCGGGCCGTGACACTGTGAGCAGCGACAACACGGACTACTGGGCCATGACATTGTGAGCAGTGACAGCACCACACCCCGGCACACGGCTCACGTGATCATTACGTCCAGGGCGGCCTTCTGAGCACGATGTTGAATGACGGAAAAAGCCGATGCATCCCCGCGTACTGCGTAGGACTCCTCGGGCGACAAGCGGTCCGCTGCAGACGCCCACCATCGCTGAAGAGCTTACAGCGTCTGTCAGGAATGCTCTAGTTCAAGAAATGACTGTCATGTTCTTGTCAGACCGTACTGCGCATGCGATATCGGTGGTGTGCCGTATCTCAGGCGTAGTGTTTTTTATTTCCATGAAATACGACACACCTAATGAGAATAGTAGCCATCTTTGGTGCGCTTATAGCGGAAGAAACGTACTCATGCCTTCCACTGAAACATCGCTTCCTGCAAATCGAAGACATTCCCGGGTGCCCACAATGTCCATAGGGATGATGAACTTGTTCGTATTACTGCACGTGTGTGCCATGCATGTTTATTTTAAAATATCCGATTGAGATTTTTCGAGCGTAACGTGGTATTGGGTTCTATACTAATGTTCATGGAAAAACGACCCATACGCGAGCCATTGTTCCTGCTGAATTTAGATTTTCGTGAATTTTCCAAAACACATCATCGCCGCCGAAACCAACTATGCAATCTACCACAGCCCTACTCAACCTATCACAGCCCTACCCAATCTACCGCAGCTAATTCTGCAGTGGGCATTTCTACCGGTCAATTAGATATACGTAAAGGCCGGAGATGGTGAGGGGGAGAGGGCAGCAGAGGGGGGGGGGGGGTCACCGGTGGCAGTAGTCCAGGCCCAGACACGAGATAGACAGCAGACCGCAGACACCAAAGCGACCCGCCGACTGACCCACGCCAAGGTGACTCGCCGGCTGACCCACGCCAAGGCGATGGTGGGTCTCTCAGTGACAGTGTTAAATGTTCTCTGGCCGCCCCCCCCCCCCAAAAAAAAACACTCACAAAAGATGGGGCAACTGCCTTAGACATGGATGTAGACATACTAATGAGGCGTTTGTGGAGCAAAGGCATGAGCCGCAGGCATTCGATAAGACACATCACGCTGCAACTTTTTCCGAGATACACGCCGTGTCCGCCCAATCGTGGCCCATGAGATACACACCGTGCCCGCCCGATCGTGGCCCATGAGATACACACCGTGTCCGCCCAATCATGGCCCATGAGATACACACCATGTCCGCCCAATCGTGGCCCATGAGATACACACCGTGTCCGCCCAATCATGGCCCGTGATTCATGCGTGCGAACTCGAGGTCCGCAGTGGCGCTAATCTGCTACTTTCCTGGCCAACCAATGTCTCCTTGGGACTCCGTCGCCGGACAGCGCACATATAACGCCAGGGTGGACGCAGGTCATGGCCGCGGACGTAGGTCATGGCGGTGGACGTAGGTCATGGCGGTGGACGTAGGCCACGGCGGTGGATGCAGGTCACAGCGGTGGACGTAGGCCACGGCGGTGGATGCAGGCCACAGCGGTGGACGCAGGTCACGGCTGCGTACGCAGGTCACGGCGGTGGACGTAGGTCACGGCGGCGGACGCAGGTCAGAGCGGTGGACGTAGGTCAGGGCGGTGGACGCAGGCCACGGCGGTGGACGTAGGCCACGGCGCTGGATGCAGGTCACGGCGGTGGACGCCGGTCAGGGCGGTGGACGCCGGTCAGGGCGGTGGACGCCGGTCAGGGCGGTAACCGGTACAAAGATCGCCAGGGTGGCCGGTACGCATATAACGCCAGGGTGAACACAGGGCAGGGCGGCGATCGCCACGCAGCTCCCCGTGATTGAACGGTCAGAGATAAGGGGCAAAGCCATCGCTTTCCGAAGGTCCGACCATCTTCTGACCTGTTTACTCCGAGCCAAGGTCATCGGTCATGAGCATCGGGAGATGATCAGCTGGCTTTCACTACGGGCCACAAATAGAACCACCTTGGTGAGACGACGGCTGTGGCTAAGTCGCTACGTGAACTTCGGTGGCGCCAAGTGATGAACAGCTCTGGTATGTCGTTCCTGCTGCCGACAGCTGATTCTCGAGTGTGTTTATAGCACGCTCCTGACGACGAGGAGGCACGCGCAATTTCAGTTCGCCGTGGAAGCGGTCTCGTCTCGACCACACTTACTCGATACTCGATTGCCAAAACGTGTATTTGGTTGCGCTCGGTGCTGAACGCCACAGTGATAGTGACATCCCTTCCGATTTCTGAACAAGAGCTGTGCACGCCTGTACGAGGAAAGAGAAGTTGCTGCTTGCGTTAGCAAAATATACGAGCCATGCCGGTGTGGAATATTATGGAATGCTATGTAAAAAATTAACTCCACGGAATGCAGATGTCACTGCTAAGGGCGTGATATGTCAATGCCCGAGAGCTCAGATCATGCGGCTGGAGCAACGACGCGTGTGCAACAGCGCCGCATCGTAGCTTGTTCCAAGCGATGCACGTGCTGGAGAACAACGCTGTTTGAAAATGACAGCTTATGAACGCCATGACAATGAGCATAACCCTATCACGTGTTTATGATCAGGTCGTAGCAACAGTGCCATCGGTGTTGACAACGAAGTTCGTGGCCGAATGGTCCACTAGCAGTCTGATAACGGACTGACAACGGTGCCGACCGTTCCCAAGTCACGCGTATCGCAATCTGCGGATGACTCATCCTTGCCTTTTCATGTAAAAGCACACGACTGGCCGCTATGCCGGTGCTGCCAACTGGGCTGCCAACCGGACCGATATGTGACTAATCGAAACGAACTGGTCGACTGTAACGTCTCGAAGGGACCATCGAATAGAGCTCATGGATATACAACAATCAGGACAGAGTTATAATAAATCTATTAGCGAATATAATTAGAATCAGGGTTAGCAGAGCCAGTAGAGTATCATTAGAGCTAGCAAGCCCGGCGTTGCCGACTACCCCGTCCTCGTTTTGAGTACAGATCTGTGCTTCCACATTCGAGTAGCGTCGCATTCGTCGTCGGTGCGAGCGGTCACTGACTGTAGGCCATTTACCACGCATTACAAAACGGCCATCTGGCAACTGTAGGGTATTTAGCACGCATTACAGAACGCCCATCTGGCAACCGTAGGGTATTTAGCACGCATTACAGAATGCCCATCTGACAAAGCCGTTCATCTTGTTCTGGGCCACTTTCACCTCGTGGCAGAGTCGTCTATAAGCATTCGACGTCACGCGGCGGCCTGGCAGACCAGCGTATGAGCGTTAAGCATGGCGAGAGTGTGGAGGGAAATACACAGATGGGTTCGCAACTTTGAGAAGCTTTACGGTTGCCCAGAGAGCAGCTCAAGGAACCTGTGAGATTCAAAATTTCATGAAGTAACTACAACGCTTAAAATGGATCTTTCCTATTGAATTGATCGTCAAAACGCTCTTTTCAGCTGGTAAATTTTTGCGCTTAATTTCCGTAGCATCCCAAATGCACGCTAACTGCGTGCCTTGCACACACAAGAGACGAGCGAGCAGGCCTTCTGCTGGTGCTGTATCTTACTGAAAACCGTTGTTCTTAGCGTTACATTGAAACTAAGACGGCCACATTGTTTTTTTTTCGATTCCGTGCAATGAAACAAGGCAATGCAGTATAACTTCATGTGATGGAACTGCCGCGAGTAGTGCGTCGCAATGAAAAACATGGATATTGCATCGTGATGCTATTCAGCTAGCAGTGCACCCGCTCTCATAGCGCCCATGGTTAAGCTCAAACTTCAGGGACCATATTGCATCGTAGCGGGGGCATATGGAGAACTTCACAATGAGAGGGCCAGGGGGCACAGCTAAAAGTTTTGCAGTGCGAATCCTGTTAAACGCCAGAAGTGCGTACGTTTGTTGCATTGCGTAAAGCAACGCGTTAAGCCACTATGCTTGCACGTCGCTGCAGTGTACACCAGCAGCAGATTTCGTCATATCTTCGTGCATCGTTCTCTTGGTTGCACACGTATTTAAAGCCGATTTGGCCATCGACCATTTACACGCCGCTCAACTCGCAGCTTTGAAGGCTCCAGGAGGTGCTCCAGAATAACTTCCAAATCGCTACACACGTCGTGCTGATCAGTCCTAGCTCGCATTCACGGGCCGGCTGACTTTTCAACCTGAAGGATCTGCCCTGATACACATTACGAAGGTTACACTAATTGTGGTGCTGCTATCTTATCATGGGCTGACGTCGTTTTCCTAGCTATCAAATGCCACAGCTCTGGAGACAACAGGGTCATAAATTAAGCAGCTGTGTATGGCCACTGGAGCGGACCCGGCGCTGCTGAAGCGTAACTGGTGCCCCCTGCCTACAGCAACCGCGACAAAAAGGAGGCTAACGAGGGCAACAAGCAGCGCGTTTTAAGTCACAATCCAGAAGCAGACAACCACACAGGTACTGGATACACCGAAGCATCCAGCACATGCACATGTAACCCCTTTTCCCGGCATATCTACGGCAAACTGACCCCTACGTTTGCCTGCCCCCCCCCCCTTGCCCTGGAGGCCAAGGACAACATCAGTGACTGACCAGCATCGTGGCGACCTTGCTGCTGGTCTCCTCTGTCGGCAGGTAGAAGTCATCCCTGGTGACGTCATCCCTGGTGACGTCAGACGAGTCGGGTCCCAACATCGACTTCAGACGCTGTCAGACACGAGCAAGAGTCACCAACAGATGGCGCTGAGTCGTGTGCCTAGAGCCCCCTCCCCCTCAAACATAGCAAACCAAACATTTCTGGATCCGATCCCAGGATCTCATGAACACGGAGTGCCATGGGACCCTGGATCCACATTTTGGATCCAACCACGTAGCTTTACTAGTACAGGTCACTAATCCATGCAGTAACATCGGTATTACTGCAAGCCAAACGTGAAATCGCACGAGAACTAGGTGTGTAAACGTCCAAAGCGTAGTGACCTACGCTTTGAACAAGCACACTTCGCCTCGGTCCCTGTTTCATACTTTTAAAGCATGAAACGGAGACCGATAACTGTGGCCACAAGCACGAGCAGCAAGAACAGGTGACCTGCAAGTCACACAGGGTTTAAATGAGAGTCGCACAAACTAACACGTGCCGGTGTACGAAGTGGGCAGACACAGGTCACAAGAAAAGCTCACCAGCACAGATCGTGTGCTAGTATACAATTGCATGCCCCAAACGTTTGCTTCAAGCTTACGCCGCCAACTTCAGCATCATACGCGTCTTATGCGTTCAGTGCAGAAACTAAGGCATGATCACAGGTAGCAGCATAGATCACAGGGTGTCAGTGTCACACGGAACGTTCGCAAACACAGTGCGGAAACACGCGTCACAGAGAGCTTTCACTTATGTTTGACACAAACACTTTACGTGCAAGCTCATCATGCTTGTAACATTACTGATGGAGTCAATCCAGTTACCACCGTGACCAACGATCGACAAAACACATGCTTCCACCACTAGTTATTACCTCGTGGTCACAAGTCACTGAACACAAGTACGAAATCATTTCTTGTGGGCACACTGGTGCCGAACAGCGATCTCATGCTATATACCTTTCCTTTAATGGCAAGACTACAGGAACGAACCCACTCGTAAATCAGAGCTTGCAAATCTAAAAAGACCACGTGTTGTTTGGATTGCTGGCTTCAGTAACAGCAAGAAATTGGAGCCCATTTCGTTTCAAAACAGCACGATTTTCCAGCGCAATGCCACCATTCCTCAGCAACTTTTACACATAACCAAGCTACTTTCATGCACAATAGCTATATCCTGTTAACGTGACGTTCATGACGCAGCTTGAGAACCTCTGAAGTCCTTCACACGACACCCCCTCAGTGGGATCGCCCGCGTCCACCCACCTGAGGCACCAGCTGCCGCATGTCCAGGTGGTTCTTCTTCAGGTACCACAGCGCCACGGCCACGACGGGCAGCACGAACAGCAGCGACACCAGGTAAAGCGGCCGACTCTCAGCCTCCTCCGTCAGCAGCACCTCCTCAGCGAACACCTCGCGCACCGCTGGCCGCCGCCGACCGACCGATGGCAGCGGCGAGCTCGCCGCGCTCGGCGGGGCTGTCGACGAGGTGGGCCCAGCATCCAGGACGCGCTGGACGAGCTCGTCCTCCTCCTGCCAGTGGGACGAGGCGGTGGAGGTCGGGCTGGTGTGCCGGGTCCTGTTGCTGGCATCGGCGGCCGCCGCGACCTCGGCCAGGCTCAGCCGCGGCGCGCGCACCGTGAACTGGTCGAAGCTCTGCTCCGGCGTGGGGCTGTACGTCTGCGTGGTGGAGGCGTTGCGCGATCTCTCGGTGGTCGTCGACGGAGCCGGCGGGTCGTCAAGCTCCGGCAGCGCGCTGCTCTCACCACTGGGACCACTTGTCCGCGCGGTGTCTCCCTCAGACACCTCTCCAGACGCCCGCCCGCCACCTGCCCGCTGTGCATCGCTTCCCTGCCGTTTCCCGGCCGCTACGCTGTCCCCGGCATCACGTCCCCTTGCCTCGTTCGCCGCCTGCGCCAGGCTGACCCGCTTCCGCAGCTTGAACTCCAGCGGCGAGACGGCGACCGACACGGACGTCTGCAGGGAGGTGCCGAGCACACGTCCGGCCGGCTGACCAGCCGACGTCACCGCCGCGCCGCCGCCACCCGGCGAGCGTCCCCCGGTGCGCACGGTCGTCTGCGATGTCGGCGGGAACGTGACGCTCACGGTGAAGTTGCGTCGGAGCGGCGGCGCCGTGATCAGGCCCGCCCGGAACGGCGCGGGCAACGTCGACAGCAGGATCGGCAGCGGTGCCATGGTGGGCAGCAGCGCGGCCGGCAGTGCGGCGGCCGTGGAGCCGCCGTCGTGCCCTGTCGACGCCGCCCTGTGGCCGCCATCGCCGCCCAAGGCGGAGAACACGTTCTGCCGCTGCCGTAGGCGGCGCGCCAGCAGGTTCTGGCTGCTCTTGTTCTCCACGGGATAGGCCCGGCGCAGCGACTCGAGGCGGCGACGGCGTTCGGCAGACGCGGTGTTCTCCGACGTCGAAGCTGCGCCTGCCCACACCGCTTCCGGGCGTCCACGGCGTCGGGCGTCTGAACTCTTCCGCGATGATGGTCCTCCCCGACCGGCGGTCTGCCTGGAGGTGCCCCGTTCCGTCGAGCTGCTAGACTGCGGGGTCGCGAGGACAGTTGTGAGGACATCAGCTGCTACCTCAGACGTGGTGGGGACATCAGCTGCTACCTCAGATGTGGTGGGGACATCAGCTGCTACCTCAGATGTGGGGGGGACATCAGCTGCTACCTCAGACGTGGTGGGGACATCAGCTGCCGCTTCAGACGGTGAGGCAGGGGATGGACCGGCTGCTGTTGACGACGTCGGCGGCCGCGAGCTGCCTTCCGGGGAATCGCTTGTCGCGTCAGCAGGCGTCGTGTCCGCTCGTCCTGCGGGTCTCGCGGCTGATGGTGCTGGTGAGGCTGCTCTCCCAGCAGGCGACTCTGTGCCATCTCCCACGCGGCTGCGTCCAGCACCTCCAGCTCTCGACCTCGAGCGTCCTCCGTTTCCGCCCGGAACGCCAGTGCGCGCCCCGCCCCGCGCGATGAGGGCTGGCGACACGCGCGTCCGGTTTCTGATCTTGGCCAGCAGACCGAGCACCTTGCTGACCTCCTGCTTCTCCTTGTGTTCTGGCGGCGGGTGGCGGGTGTGGTGCTGGTCCTCCGTCGTCCGCCGCGCACCCCCTGCAGGCGGCTGCGGTAGCGGCCCAGACGACCGCGGATCAGCGCCGATGGAGGTCGTCGTGACGGCGACGCCGACTCGACGCCGCCCGAGGTCGGCCGAGCCGGCCGCTCGCTCGGCCTGGGCTGGGGCGGGTGGGCTGAGGTTTCAGCCTCGGTCGAAACGGTCGCTGTGCTCGGGGATTCGACTGCCGCTACGTTCGAGTCACCCTCCGCCTTCCCCGAGGGGGCCGGCGCACTCACATGTTCGACCTCAGCGTGCGTCGGCGGCAACACTTCGTCCGCTGCCGCTGGGGCGACCTCTGTCGTGGTGGAGTCTGCCGATGTCAGCCCATCTACGGAGAAAGCTGCGAGGGATGGATGTGTGGTCGTCGCAGTTGCCTCGTCGGTGGTAGGTGTAACGTCAGCTGACGTTTTCACTGAAGTTGCTTCAGCATCCGGTGGTGTCGGGGTTGTCACGTTGTTCAGCTCTGTGGCGCTGACCTCGCCGTCAGCTAAGGGTAACTTCCGCGGACTGTCGATTTCATTCTCCACCGCCGGCGCCGTAGCATTTGTTCCCACACGTTTCACTGCAGCTGGCTTTGTCGTGATCGTCTCACTCACAAGCGGTGCCGCCTCCGGTGTGATGCCACCGCCTCCCCTCACTGCCTTCCGCCTGGCCTTCAGCCTGTCCTCACTGAGTCCCTGGGTGGCACCTCGACCCCGCCCGCGGCCGCGGGCGTCCTCTCCGGCGCCAGACACCACCTCACTGCGGGTTGAGCCCAGCGCCTGCGCGCCCTGCACCTCGCCTGACCCTAGCCGCCGGCCAAACCCTATGAAGGGCTGGAGCTGATGCTCGCCGACCAGCCCCTGTGCCAGCAGGAACTCCGGCTGCAGGCTGAAGTGTGAGTCATTCAACAGCGCCAGGAACGGCGGTTCCAGGTAGGCGCCGAAACTGCGCTCAGTGGTCGTCGGTGCTGCCACCTTGCGGCGGCGGATGACCTTGAGCGAGCCTCGCCGGCCGCCGCTAGATGACTCCGGCCGTGTGACGTGTCGCTTGAGGGCGGCATTGCGACGTGACTGGGAGGGGGCCACCACGCGGAGGAGGCGGGCGGAGGCCGCGCCCACCGCGTCCGGCGACGACGAGTCTAGAAAAAAGAGGACGCACGCGGTCAGCCAACTGTCTGACGCAAATCGCAGAGGGCGTTTGAGTGCGAGAATGCGCGAGAGGTTAGTTTCAAACGAGAGGACACGTACGAGACGCGAGGAATCTTCGCAATAAATGACGAAAACAGGATAGACGATGAAGCCCAGAAGTCAAGATAGGTCTGAAGCAGGCCGCAAATAGAAATGAAGCCTTTCACGGGTGTGTGACAGTCTTAATTTATACTTGTCAAGTCTAAGTCTTGATTTTTCTCTCACGGTTTGTGAAGGTCTTGAAAGACTCGACGAGCCGCAGTCAATACGCGTTGGGGTGGGTGGGTTGGGGGATGGGGTAAGATTGACTGCCCAAAGATTTTTACAGAATAATTTCCAAACGGCGCGGCGTAGCCCCACCAAACTTTGCTTAGCTGTAGAGAATTAGATACCGGACATTGTTATGTAAAAGGGATGATGCACCTGGTAAGGTCGCTAACCCATGGGCGGTAAAACCCAGGCCATGGCTGTCGGCGAAGGACATTTGTGGGGAATCGTTCAATGTGATGCAGCAACATAGTGTGAGATGAAGCCATACATATCTTGGATAGTTTCTTAGGCAACACAAGATTAAATTCAGAATGGTAACAAATTTAACTCACCTAGGGGCAAGTATGTAGGCCAGAGCAAGGTAAAAACTGACCTTAAGTTTTAGTCGAGAGCTTGGTTTAATGGGGTAGTCTTTGGCGCTGATTTCGAGTTGGTTAGCGACAGGGACTGCAACAAAGATGTTCTACTGACCTTTTAAAGGCCAGAGTACGTGACTGACCTAAAATGACCCCGATCAACGTTTTGTTTTTAGGAACATATCGCCTCTAGCGTGGTCCCAAATACTGATTCGAATAGCAAAATCAGGGTCATTGTGTAGATATTTGGTCACCTTGACCTTATGAAGGTCAAACAATGTCACTGGCCTCATTAAGCTCTTGCCTGGAACAGGCATTCACGGCGGTTGCATAAGAAAGTCTGGGGGCACCTGGGGCACCAACCTGGATTTTGACCTTGTCTGACCATATTGAATCCCAAGGACATCACGTGGGAATACACAATTTTTACACATGTAAGTTCGCGCAAATTTGAATCTATAATGTGAACATTACGTGTCCGGCTATCTTAATTTTTGAGATATCAGGGAGTCAGTCACCCCTACTGGAGCAAAGGGCATTCAGCCGACCACCCGGGCGCGTGTTGAGAGTTGTTACATACCAAAGAACATCCGGTTGGCAGAGTATGATGTTAATGATCGCGATCAATTGACTACAGAGGGAGAAGGATGCCGCCTAACGTAATGTCTGGGGTTTGTCTTGGCAACTTACGTAATGTCCAGGGTGTTTAGGGCAACCAGCGAGTGCAAGGAAAAAGCTTGTAGAGCGCTCCGGCAAAGCACTTCTGCATCGATACTTTGACCAAATACAGATACAGACAGCGAACACGTTCATATATATATATATATATATATATATATATATATATATATATATATATATATATGTGTGTGTGTGTGTGTGTGTGTGTGTGTGTGTATGTGTGTGTGTGTATGTATGCCCCGAGCTTCGCAAGAATGGTGCCTCCAAAAGCCGGATGCTTTGGAGAGAAAACGGCGATGAAAAGCTTCGAAAGGCTCCGAAAGCAAGCAGTGTTCTGAATACTGCGCGTGCCCACTGCAGGGAAAGAACCCATCAATGAACTAATCTGACGATATTTTTGCCATTGGCGATCACGAACGCAACTCCCGTTGCGGTCTTCCACAACTCTCGCCATTAACAGCACAGCTCATGCGTGAGATCATTGAGTTTTAGTGCAGCTGGCGCATCTCATTCTGTCCAATCTGCCTTATTTGCCCATTGGAGAGAGGGGCTGGATGAGCCAGCACGACCGGTTCGGTGAACAGTCAACAGCACGTGACCGACATATGGGTGAGCCAGCGAAAAGCCGCTTAAAGCCTTCTCAATTGCGAAATGAGTTTATGACAACGTCTTTATCAGCGCGCATGCTCCCAATACTTCCCTCACATGTCCTGGGTCGTAGATTTAGCGCTGTTCTGTGGCGTCGTGCGCTGTACTGTGTTTGTCCGAACCGTGTCAAGGCAGCTTTGCAGATAACGCAGTAGTGGTTCAGATGATCTAGTGTGTTCTTCTCAAGGATGGATGTGTTTGTCATGAAACTTGTTCACCCACAACGGCGTGCGCAACCCAAATCGCTGAAATTGAGCGCGGCCAAAGGGAGGCGTCCGCAACCCATTGCAACACCGCGAGGTGTTAATGCACCTCGAAAGTTTCGTAAAACCGTGAGAGACGACAGTACGACCGACGCGCCGCGAGCCGTGACAAACCAATCAGCGGGATGACGAACGGAATTTGTCACGGCCCAGCACTAGTGTGTCATCCGTCGGTTCGGCGGGCGTGACTGACGGAGCCGCCGGACCGGTCCGTCACGGCGGCCCGCAAGTCACAGTCATCGCGGTCCGCTGATGCCGATGTTCCGGGTTTTGGTCCGTGCTGGCCACGTGAACCAGCTGCCGCAGCTGCCGCACGGCTGCTAGCTGACGCGTGGAGTGGCAAGATTGCCAGCGTGTCATACTATGCATCCATCATGATTACTCAGGTTAATTCCATCAGCCCACTTCTCCACTAGGATACAGATGAAATAATCATCTCCCTACTTCTTTAAGAAAAATGGGCGAACTTCCCACACAAATGGTCATTAGAGAGCACTCTTTGCTCACCGTTGATTGTTGTCAAGGTTCCCAATCCACCGCCCCGGCCGAACACTGCGTCCAAATCAAGTAACAGTTTTGTTTGTACTGTAGGCCAAACACCGCCGAACTACGCATCGGTGCAACACGTCACCACGACACGGTCACTCGGTGTCAATCTGACCCCCTCATGGCCAGGTGCCAGTTGTTCATCCCTGACGATAGATCCAGAACGTTGTCTCTGGGACGGGAGTAAGAGTGAGTAAGTACGTAGCTGAGAGTTTCTTAGTCTGCCGCCTAGTGATCAGCTGTCCGTCGCGATGTTTTCAACTCAGCTACGGGTCCTTGATCGTAGGCTTCGTGGGTTAAGGCGCCGGCTAAGCGCGCATAAGTTTGTCATGCTGGGAACACAAGGATACAGGCAACCCAACCGCGTTACGCGTTCTTTCTTGTACGCAATGACGGAAGAAAATCAACTAAAAATGAAAGTTTCACGATACTTTTGAGACGCAAGTGCCAATAAACCATTTGGTCTGAAGAGCGTGCGCTGCGTGCCCCTGGCAGATCACTGCAGCTGGCGCCGGTGAAGCCTGGGATCGGTGGGACGTGGGGCCCGCCCGTGGGACCCGCCCGTGGGACCCGTGGGGCCCGCCCTAAGTCGCCAGAGGAGACGGACTTCCCCGCGGAAAGTTTTGCCCCTCTGTTGGTGCCGAGCGTGCGTGAGTCCGGAATGAGAAGTAATTGGACGTAATGCGCCCCTTGCTTGGTTTTCCTAATTTGGACGCGGCCAACCGTACTTTGGATCGCACGTCACTTTCATCCTCGGTTATTACGCCGATGAGTCTGACTTCTTTTCATGAAAGGACCCATTACGTCTCGGTGGCAGACTTTCGAATGGACGTTGTCGACGTTACGCTACAGTTTCCTGGTAAAGAGAGCTAATGATATTTGGCACCCGCGTTTCCTTGCTTTGTTTAATTTTCAAAACATTGCTGATTCATAAAAGCATGTCTTAAGATGGAAATGCTGAGATGCGCGCCTTGTGTTTCTCGATGTGTTGGGGCGAGATTGATTCATGTTT